TTCCGCAAGCACGCGCTCTTTGAAACACCCAAACAGCAACATCACGGTGGCAAAAACGGACGAATCTCCAGCAGCCAAGAGACGCAGGCTCACAGCTTCAGCTTTCTCCAAAAATAAAGGATGTGAAGCTACGCTCAAAATGGGCAACGAAGCGCGCTCGACCCATTTGGCAACTGGTATGGGCTGCATCCCAGTGGCCTTCCACCTTACCCACGAATCTATGGAAGATCCAGTGAGCATGCATACGTTGATAAATTCGTCCGAGCTTCATAGTGCGTGTTTGAAGCTTCCATTCGCATCGCCTTCCGTGACATCCCAGGTCGAATGTGTTATGCAATTGCATGACGACGAGTGCACCATCACCCCAGCCTCTCATCAAGCTGCCGCTCACGACAACCTTTCGGTGCCATTGGACGAGGCATTGGTGAAAATGAAGCAGGCGGTTGCTCAGTCGTGGTTACCGAAATTACTCTGCAACAGCGAGTACGATGAGGTATCGGGCAATTTACTAGCAGCCCTGAATTACGACGTTCGCCGACGGCCTAGTCTATTACAAGCCATGGCCAAACTACACGCAGGAGCAATCGTCGTTGACAAGGAAGTGATCGTGATCCTGGCCGCCGAGGCCTATGGTCGTGCAAAAGCTGTGGATGTTCATGGCGAGACAAATATGAAAACTATCCCTCAAGATGCGCATCAATTAATGATCGGTATTTTCGAAGAGGCGGACAGTCATGGTATGAAGAACAAGCTCAAGATTGGCGCCCGTCATATGAACATTCTGTCAACCATGTCTGTCTGCTTGCACCAAGATCCATGCATCGATATTGGACCTGCGACGTCGGCTTTGATAGACACAGTCAGACCTGGACGCGCAAGGTTATTCTTGCGCAGAGACAGCATTGAATCCTTCATGGTTTCTTTCGAGGAAAAGTCGTACGTGTTCCCTCCTTGCAGTATCTCGTCCTTGCGCCAAGTATCAACAGGATTTGTTGACGCCAGTTCGTTTGCGCGATGGCGTGCCATCATCGACGTGTTGGAAAGTGATTTGACTATGCCAGCTACTGTTTTTACTCTTTGCGACTTGCCCCACAACCAAGGCTATGGAGTGTCAGCCACATCCACGGGAAAAATAGCGTCTCGATTCATGCAAGCCTTGTGTCTTGCACATCTGGATTCGACACCGCCTGATTTCACCAAAGCGTTGACAGTATTTGATGCAGCGGCCAAAACTCGAGAATGTGTGCGAGCATCAAGCAAGGACTGGGACAAGCTTGCTGCCAGCGTGACCGCTCTCAAGCCGCTCATTACGGAGCACCATGGATTGTCAGCACTGACTCTTGCGATGCTACACGATTTCAGTAGCATTGCAAATCTAGCATTAAATCGACTTTCCGATTGCAATACAAGATTGAAAGAAAACGTCAAGATACGCCTCGCTCAACTTTACGGAGATAACTAGCTGATCACCACTTGCACATGCTTTCCACCTTCTTTTGTAAATTTTACAATCGCAACCTATATCATGCCGAATTTGACACTTGAACAGGGTCATTTTCATTTACATACCACCCTATTATTTTCATCATACAAGTAAAACACACACTGTCGATGTTTTTGTTTTGCCTTCTTTCACTGCATATTGTTTCGAAGATAACAAAGTACACTGTTTTCATAAAACGATGTCGCAAAAAAATAAATAAAAATAAAAAAAATGAAGAGCGATTTGACAATTTTTTTTGTGCTCATACCTGGGCCTATGTTTGTTTGAATCGTTGCTCTACCAAGCATAAATGCATGACATACTAGCGCAAACATATCTTCCAGTTTATGTTATGTGGAAAGGGATGCTTGCTCATCCCGGTGGTCGGCCGCCACGTCGTCGTCGTCGTCGTCGAAGCGCAAAACCAAGGGACCTCCTGAAAAAGGGCTGTTGGCCAATCAGAAACTGGACGTGGGCAGTCAAATGTTGGACGTGGAATCCCATACAAATTGGCTGAGGTTTGGACGTGGTTGATCGAAAGCTGGGCGTGGAGAAGTTTTTTTTTTGTCGAACATAAAATAAAATTATTGCTCACCTGATTGTTGCTTGCCTGATTCTTATCGCTGTATTATTGTAGGCATTACAAAGATTCTTTGTTTCGGCATTTGTCCCAGCACTTGTAAGAATGCGAGACGAACCCTTTGAAACGACCTTTTTCCACGCTGTTACAGGCTTCCGTAATTCTTTTTGATAGTGTGTCTTCCTGCAAAAACCTATGGCGCTTGACCTTACTCTTCGCCACGGCCCAGAATTGTTCTATTGGGTTAAGCTCAGGAGAATAGGGAGGGAGATACACACATTTGTATCCTCGATATTCAATATATTTCTTTATGTTTTCATGCGTATGAATGGGCGCATTATCCATAACTATGTAATAACCTTTCATATGCGGGTATTTGTCCATCTCATCTAGAGTCGTTTTTTAAGAAACTAATGTAATGACCTGTTACGGTTCCTGAGCTGATATATCCATCGACTTTTCTCTTCTTGACAGGCCTTGGTTTTTTCACACCAACTGTGATCAAACCAACGGCAGAGATTGCACCCAATATGGATGTTGTATTTGCTCTTGTTGTAGGCCGGGCAACAATAGCACGAGTACCTTTTGTGGACCATGCTCTTGATCGTTTCATATTGATATCAAAAGCGGATTCGTCAAGAAACACACAATTCGTCAAGAAGTTCATGTCCGTATTTTCCCATTTACGAACCCAATCGTACCGCTCCTCGATCTTTGCTAGACTGTTCCGTTCAATAGAATGGAAATCAGCCTTTTTCAGTGAAAGGTTGCATTCACTTCTCATAAAGTTATAAACAGTGCTACGTGAAAGTTTGAAATTATCGAATCGCTTCAATAAATGCTCGGTAACCTCAATAACAGTAGCAGAGGGATTATCATCAATAAAGTCAATGAGAGTCATCTAATGTTCTTTGGTCAAGATACACTTACGACCTCCTTTTTCACTACTCTCAAAAATACTGTCAGGGAACGTATTATATTGCTTCACCCATTTCTGAGCAGTTCGAACGTGAATACCAAATTGCCGAGCAGCTGCTGCAGCACTCATACACTTTTCAATCTTCAGGTCAAAAAATCTAACCTTATCCTGGACGGTATAGCGCACATAATCTCGTCTGGTATTTGCCTCCTTCATACAGACATCTTCGTTTTTTGGTTTTTGTATCAACATTGGACAGCTCGGAAACAACTCAATGATGGGTGCATCGTTCAAGTATTCAGTATGAGTTGCAATTGTCTCAACAATGAATTCATTCTCATCAACGATGTCGTCCATAGGCTCAGGACCACCATTCTCATCGACGACGTTTCCATGCCCATCTTCAAATAGAAATATTGTACTCATGTCACCTTGTAAGGAATCAGAAACGACTTCCACTTGTGAAAGCGCGAATTTGATTTTGATTGGTTAGCGATTTCAATTTTAATTGGCCAGCGAATTCAATTCTAACGGCACCGACTTCGGTTGTTGGAAGCACTGTGCACGTCATTGTGGTAGAAACAATGACTTATGATCAGTACACTACTCCAGCTGCTCGAAGTAAGTTCGAAACTACCTAATTCACATGTTACCAAGGGTAGACACGTTACCGTACACCTTAATCTGAAAGGCAAACGAAGCTGATACGAGTAAGCTCTCTCTTCACTGGGTCTGCCCTTTTCCAGTGTCACTCACTTATGATTACAGAACACTATGGTCAAAGCGTTTAGAAATTTGTGTCTAGATGCGTGTTGATTTGGTAAGTACCAGACACTCAGGCCAATTTTTAGTAGTTCGGCCGACAACGGTATACGTATGATAGCAGTATATTGTAGACAAAAGTTAACAACAAGATCACCACAACTCCAGAGAACGCCTTTCTCAAAGTAGCAACGAAAACGTCGACGTCGCAAGTAATTAGCATCATCAACGACATTTTTCAAACAAATGCAGTAGCTCTTGTACGACCAAAAAAGCAGAAGCAATAAAAGCAGCCCTGTATGAATAGTATTAAGTCTAAAGCTTTGTGATAGCGCTCTGTTTGCTCGGTTTCATTAGTATCAGAGTATACATAATTACTCGTCATATTCTCTCCTCACTACTTAAATTTCAATAAAGTCATCGATTTATTCTGTACATATACAAAGTATAGTAATTACAAACCAGAAAATAAAGCATCGCCTATCCCAACTGCTAGCGACTCGTTACCATATGCAGAAGAACGGTGTATGATGTGATATATTGATCAAAAGAGCAAGCGTTATCAACACTTGGCATCCACCGTGTTTCACTATACATTCATTAATTAGTGTCTATTGATAGCTCTGATTCTGATGTGTAGCTATATATGATAAGCATTCTTAGAGCTTTGTTTTTTGCTTTCATAATGATTATCGAATAGCATTCTTGTTTCCGAACGTGTGGGGTGCTCGAATGAATATGTAGTAAATGAACGGAATATCGATGATGATAGTATTGTTGTTACTGGCTCAATCTAATTTCTCATAGTAATAAGGTAGTTATTAATGACAGTAGTAAGATAACGTAATATTATCCGCACTCAAGGACAAAGGCTTTACACTGTTATCGAGGTTCAACAGCTACGGATGCATGAATCAATCTCAGCGCTAGGTGTAGGTGGGACAACTAGGCAAAAGATCTCCGACGATTGTTCTCCAATTCTGAAGCCGGGGCTACACTTTATCGCAAATAACTTGTCAAAAAAAACCGCATAGACCACCACCGCATACAAGAAACGAACACCATGCCCAGAGTCCCAAGAGAAACCAAAGTTTTACTCGGTCCGTTACAACTGTACCGACAGATCCTGCGAGTACATCGATACATGCCACCAGCACTTCGAAGCATGGGCGACGATTACGTCAAGTCGGAATTCCGGAGGCATCAGAATATTGACAATCCAGCCCATATTATTGGATTTATCTCGCAATGGCAAGAGTAAGTGGGAAAACATTGGTGTATTTCGGATGAGGAAGAAAGATATGGTGGTCAAGGAAAAAGCTTACATGACATGGATCAAACAATAGTTATTTAGAGACACTTGAGCAACAAACAGCGCCACCTAGCAACAAAGAAGAGTTGGTGGCACCTGTCGATGATCCTTTGGTTCGAAGCTTCAACTTCCCTGAAGGTGGTTGGGGCAAGAAACTCGACTCACAGCGTCTGGACAAGCTAAGCGACGAACAACTGGGCCAATTGTATGAACTACGAAACGAACTCAAACGATCACTAGGCAGCGACCCGAACAAAAAAGACTAGTATTAAAATAAATTGTACGCATGTGTGTGTATGCTTTCTTCTATCCGTTGTTTATATGCATAATCGCTATAATACACATGTGTCAAAAATGGATCGTTTCTCTCTCTGTTATCTTATAATGCCCATTTAATCAAGAGCACCTGGCTCGCCCTGGACCATCTTATTCTTTTCATAGTCAGGGATATCACCCGCAAATGTCCAAGCACGTTGCGATCCATCGCTCAAATGCGTTGTGTCACCATTCAGAACGAGGTCCCAACTACCATCGTCTTTTCGAACGAGTTTGGAGAGACTGCAAGTAGCAGGACATACGGGATACGTTTCGTTATCGAGCAATGCACGCACAGCAGTAATTACGGATGCTGCATGGCCCACCAACAATATAGTCTCGGGTCCACCATCAGCTTCATTATCGAGTTGATTTAACAACTTATTCAACCCTTCTTTGCTCCGCTGGTGGCACATTTTGACAGTTTCACATCCTTCGGGCAATGGGATGCTTGAAACATGTCCCGTTTGCAGGAATGGAAAGTGCTGTTCCTTGAGTTCTTGGATGGAAGCTGGTTGTTGATATTTATCATAAGCCTTGCCGTACCACTCGCTTGTTTATTGTCACTGCATCGTTAGCATTTGCCCCCAGAGTATTAAGGATAGCAGGAGTAGTAAGAATTGGAAAGTGCGTGGAACTAACCTCATGCTATTGTCAATGTAGAGCGGAATGCCGGTGTCCTTGATCAATGGCGAGACCGTTTGAAGGCAGCGATAGAATGGCGAGCAGTATGCTCTTTGGATACCCTTGTCCTTCAGGTAGTTTCCAAGCTCGCGTGCTTGCTTAAGACCAACTTTGGAAAGAGGTGGGTCGTGAGCTCTGTTCGTTGGCAAGTGTGGGTTTTCTGTGACCCAATCCTTAGAAGTGCATATTAGTTAGTCGCAACTTTTTGAAAAGAACTGAGAAGAGTAAGACCTTGATAGTACTTCTCTATAGCCGTGTCGAGTGACCCAGATACATTTGACAACCATTTCGTAGATCGAGTTTGATAGATTAGTTCTAACAAAAAAGAGGAACTCAATGGAGACTAAAAAATGATGTACCCAAACGATATACACATTGCAATGCGGAGCTATCGTCCTCCTGATACGTCACGTATACTACATTTAGTGCTAGTAGGTTTGTTAAGACTTAAAGGCGCATCGAACAGACAGCCGAGGCTTTCTACTAGCTGATCAATCGGATGTATTACAGTATTTTATCTTTGTTGAATGTATCAAGAGGAGTAAGTTCTCATGAAAATATTCAAGTAAACGTTTCATGGTAGAAGCATTGTGCCATGAGAATGAGACTCCAGTGAATCGGTTTTCAACCAAGAAAGCCTACGGTACAAGAAAGCCTACGGTACCCAAAAGACTTGAGTCACTAAAAAGCAAAAGCAAACATGAAACTCTACAGGATAATTTGACGCCAGTGGCGAGGGACCCCATCGTCCCACAATCACATCATTCAAACCCACACGTGTGGAGAACGTCTCCCTGTGTTGCTACAACTATCAAATGTTAGAACTCATGGAACGGTACAAGATGCATTATGCTAAGATTAGATGTTGTATTGTGTTTGAGAGAGAGAGAGAGAGAGAGAGAGAAAAGTATAAGGGAAAAAGCAAAGGTGTGTGTGTGTGTGTGTGTGTTTCTGTTAGTGGGGTGTTGAAGTGTGGATTGTGGTGAGGTAAGAGAGTGAGACGAGAAAAAAAAAGTGCACATGGAATTATGCAGAGTTTGAAAGAAAAATGGGATGTTTGTGTGTGTGGTAGTATATATATATATGCATATATATGATATGTATAATAATAATCTGTCACAAAAGAAGTTCTTTTGAATTAGAGAACTTTATCATGTTAATGAGAATATACGAATTCTTATGTCTTTCTTTCTCTGGTTGCTTGTAAACACGGTTTTCGTGTGGGCTTTATCGTGATTAAAAGTCGTCGTAAAGTCGAGAGTTCATGAGATGGAAGGGTTTCGTGGAACGGTCTCCGGGTGTTGCTGCTGTGGTAGGCGACTTCACATCCAACTCTTGCTTCATGTACATTTCGGGCTTGATATACATCTCCGGCTTGAGGTCCAACTCTTGCTTGAGATCCATTTCTTGCTTGATGTCCATGGCCGGTAAACCTCCAGGCTGCGCCAGATATCCGCTACTATTGCCTCCGTGGAACGTTGCTGATGCTGGGTCCATAAATGGTTGGGCTTGAGCATTCACTGCAACAGGAGACGGTGTGCCACCTACAGTCCCGTGAACAGCCTTGGATGGAGATCGGTACCTATAGAAAAAACCAAAGTATTTCAGTGACGCTGCGCTTGTCATCATCACCAATTATCACGAGTAGGAATCTGGATTTAAGAAGAGAAGAAACTCACATTCGGCTGCTGGAAGACCCTGAAGAACGAAGAGGACGAGGATGCATAGGTGATTTAGGATCAAGATGCAATTTACTCAGTGATGACTTACCGCCGACCTGAGTGTCTCGCACATGAGCCATCTTGCCACCGCTGGTTCCGGCATAACCGTAGTTCGCGAGGTTGAATCCGTGGTTCTGCGGCAACGTTTGTTGTAACATGGTCTGCGATGGGTGTGCGTACTGGCTATGTATCTTGGCTTGCTGCTGTTGTTGTTGCTGTTGTTGCTGTTGTTGTTGTTGTTGCTGCTGCTGCTGCTGCTGCTGGTATTGGAACATTACATCATCTAATTGCTTAGATGTATCGGCTGATTTTGTTTCGGCACGATATGGTTGACCGGTAGTAGGAGACCGATGAGGCACACCAGCCGATGGTAAAGCGGCAGTGGTCATCATTGGCCGTCGTTGTTGCACAGGCAATGCAGGATCATAGGGCAACGTTGAGGAGTTATATAATTGAGGATCCATACGCATACCTTGACTTTCTGCCATCTTTTTCTCTTGCTATAAAAATCATGGAAATATAGATACAAGTGAGTTGAATGTGCTCTAATTCTTTTTCTCCCTTACATCCTTTCTCTTTTCACCATGAGCCACGAGTGTAAAAAAAGTTCGTTTGACTTGGTTTTCTTTTGTTACCATTTTTCGAATTGTCCAATCAAAGACGTAATCGTATTGGAAGCCTTCCCGGACAAACAGATCTCGGAAAAGCTTTCGCAGGTAGGAATAGTCGGGTTTGTCATCGAATCGCAAAGAGCGTACATAATTGAGGTATATTGCGAACTCCTGATGCAAGCCTCGACATAATGCATCGGCAGGCGTCGTCATTTTTTTCTCCATGATTTTGTCGTATTTTTCCTTCTTTGTTCGTGCTCGGATGCCTTGCCACGGTAATTGGCCACGGCAAAAGTAGACCAGGATATAGCCAAGCGATTCGAGATCATCCCGTCGTGATTGCTCTTTTTTGTGTAAGTGTAGTTTGGTTGGATTAAAAAAGATAGCCGCCATGTACATGGTTTACGTAGCGTGAGGTTAGCTCTTCATTAGCATGCAGAAATTTATAAATATAATGAATATGTATCCACATGTAAAAGTTTCCCCTTACCAATCCCGAGATGGGTGTTGACACTGGCATAGCGCGGAGTACCGGTAAGATTTTTGTTTTCTCTATAGGGTATATGCACATTCGTCCGTGGATCGCGAAACCGTTTTGCCAAACCGAAATCAATCATGTTGACTTGGTTTCCACGCTTTCCAATGCCCATTAAGAAATTATCTGGTTTGATATCTCGATGAATAAAGCCTTTTTTCAAAAGTAGAAACAAAAGACACGTAAGTACATTCAATTCGGCATACAGCACAATCATGCAATCTAACCCCCTTAATATTTCAATTACTAACCTTTGGAGTGTACATATTCGACGCGGGATAACTAATACGTAAATACACAGATAACGGGTTAATGGACCGATTACTAGCTAGCAGCCCGACATTCTCTGTTGCTCTTACCAGCTGGTCCGCCAAGAGAAGTACCGTCTTTAACGAAAAGCGACGTTTGCAATAATTGAATAGATCTTCCATGGATGGACCGAGCAAATCCATTACCAGTACATTGTAGTCGCCTTCTTTGCCGTACCATCTGACAAACGGAATGCCGACGCCTCCAGCTAATGTTTTGTATACTCTGGCTTCGTATTCGAGTTGTGGATGTGTTGCTCGTACGCTTTCCAGTTTTATGCCGATGTCTTCACCGCTTGTGATATTTGAGCCTATAGACGCAAGCAAATGAAACAAGTTGCCAAAAAATAAAAAGGACAGTTGTCAGTAAACCAGTATTCTCGAGACAAATGACTCATTTCGAATCCTGAAAGGAAATGGAGATAAAAAAACGAGAATCCTGCCAAGATGAAAAGGAAAAAGAAAAGCAATTCCCCCCCCCCTTTCGCTTTCGAACAACCGGATGAACTCAGCCCTCCATTCGAAAATGAAGAATCTAACCATTTCGCTTGGTCCACCACGTACTTTCTCTTTGGTTTGAAAAAGTACATGATTAAAACCAATTGTATCAAAAAGTGAATGATGGATGGCATGGGCGAGTTCAAACGGTGGTTATAAAAGAACGAGGGGAGGAGAGGATGGAATGAAGGACAATGAGGAGGAAAAGGCGAGGAGAAAGAGTAAGAGGGAGGAATAGCTTGTCCATCTGTTACAGGGAGTCATCCACACCCACACAGCCGGCACAGCCCACTTGTACAAGCCCGCATTACACACCCACACACCGAGGGAAAGCAGACAGAGCGAAAATGAACATTCTAGACTGTAAAAGAAAAGCAATACTATACCCAAGTAAATCTCTCCAAAAGACCCGGCGCCAATCTTTCGACCAAGCTTGTATTTGCCGCCAACGATAATGTCCCGTCCTTCTAACGACATGTGTTATATGTAATTGTACGTGGTGAAATTAGAGATTGTATGTAAGAGAAAAAAGGTAAATGGAGGGAATTATTAGCAGTAAAGAAAGAAGACAGAGAAGAAAGAGGAGTTGGAGAGGAAGTAAAAAGTGATGAGGGATATCTGAGAAGAGCGAAAAAACACACTTGGCAATAGCAACCCAACCCAACCCACCACAAAAAAAATACGGCCACTCAAGTAAGCCCAAACTGCGAAGGGCGGAACTTGGCCGAGCACCAATCGATCTTTAAACCAGTAGCACCCCCACCCCCACCCAAGATTTGGTAATCCGCACCGCACCGCACCGCACGCAAACATTCGTGCTTGTTAAGAGGGGGAAAAGCTATTTTTGACATTCCTCACCAGCTTGCTGCCACCACGGTCTATTCCCAGCCGGCTATTAACATTTGCTCGCACTATTATGGAAAGTTTGAGGGTCGTGCTGTGTTTTTTTTCGACTTATGATGAGATTACTATATTGTTTGTTTTTGTTATCGGCGTAGATCGACAAAAATGGGCACATGTTTGTTAGATACGGCCTTGGTTTCCAACTGATCCGAAATAAGAAATGAAAATGGCCGCTGCACACAGCACATCCTTGCCCATTTATCAAATGCATATTCCTGCTGCTAAGAAACGAGAAAGCAAGTTGCTTCCTCGCTTAGCAACAGCCCAACATCTGCATGCATACTGTATGTTGCATCATCCGTCTTGGTGTAATCAGTGCTGACTAAGCGCACTACTATTCTCTAAAAACCTATTATCCAAAAGTAGATATTATGCCAGAATTACTAAGGTGATTTATATAAAGAACCGCCTTTTCTTATGCTGCGCACATACGTAACCGGACTCATAGTAGGTCTTGCTTCCCTAATCTGTAAAACCAACATTACGTCATGCCATGTTTCCAAGCAGAGGGTTTCACGTAATAGAAGTGGCACATGCTATGTAAAAGCCGGTTGCGGGATATGAGGGCTAGCAGGCCAAGAATGTCTTGAAGCATACCACAATGCTTAATAGATATAATATATGCAACACATAAATCGAACAGGTTCTCCGTTTAGGTAAACATATGATAATAATAGTCCGAATTCATATACATTACTATTAAGCAATAATAGCGGTATTTCTTCTTATTACAGACTTTAATAGTGGGTGATCTGCAAAAAGAAAATGATTAAATGCGCGGGCTGGCGGAGGTCGTACCAGAATCCTAGGGGACTTTCTGCCGAACTCCAATTGTTTGCTGCCTTGTGTTCCTGGGAGTCATTTACGTGCGTCTCTTGTTCAATAATAAATTTACACCATGTTGCCGGCATTTGTCCGCCGCGTTAATAATAATATTTATAATGATTGTCCAACACCTACCTCACTACTCAGAAGGTCACCCAATGTATTACTCAGTGCTCCTGCAAATTAAGACCAGATAGGCGTACGCCGCTCTTATTTCTTAATGATTATAATGCTTGAAATGCTTGCTCAAACTTTTTCATCTTGAGACAACATACTAGTAGAGCAGTAGGAATATTTCTCGACTAGACTGTAGTACATATTAAGTGCTGCAAATTGTAGCCGATAAAATACCGCATTTACAAAACAGCAGATCTAGTCATATAATGAGATAATCTTCTCGCTGATGCTCTTCACTAGAAATACAAAGGGTTTAGTTAGAGAGGAGTTATATGACATGATGAAATTACTACTATAGTAAAGCATCTCAATGCGGTCGTTGCACAACTCCGGTGGCTTTCCACCCAGAATTTTTGCTTTCTTCGGCTTTGTCAGCAAACCACGCACTTACACTCAACACAATGTCGCATAACAACGAGCATACCACTGAGGTATGGATACTCATACTCAAACTTGGCTTATAGGAAATTTCTTCTGTCGAAAAACTCACGTACACAAACTGTCTTGTTTAGCACAATCACCAGGAAAACGACGAGATCGTCGACGAAGAATATATTCGAAACGACGATATTCTGGAAGAAACAGTAGAATTGGACCAAGGAGAGCCAATGGACGACGATTCTGACGATGATCAAGGTATATAAGTCTGCATATCTTTTACTGGTACGGTTATGCTTTTTACTTGGCACCTATGACTAAACGAAAGTTGGACGTTAATCAAGGTCAACCAAGCACTGGTCTTGAAGGGTTCGAATTCCGTCCTTCTGGCAATGACCCGAACATGATGGAGTTGGCTGACGATTCGGTACAAGGATTCTTTGACCACCACGGTAAGAAAGAAAGGTGGAAAAGGAGGGGAGGGGGCCATTGTTCTTTCAAAGGATATTCTGACGGGAAGTAAAATATGTGTATATACCATAGAGCCTGTATATGCTATTGCGTTGCATCCCAAAGACGAATCGATTGTTGTTAGCGGTGGTGGTGATGACAAGAGCTACTTGTGGCGAAACGATACTGGCGAAAAGCTCTTCCAATTCGATGGTCATACGGACTCAGTTACTGCTGTTGGATTTAGTGTGGATGGTGACTACGTTGCTTCGGCCGGTATGGATGGAAAGGTTCGTGTGTGGAAGGCACATACTGGCGAGTTTTGTACAGCTGTCGAGGGCCCTGATGAAGTTGTGGTAAGATTTGATAGTTGCTGGCGCTTTGAAAAAGGAATTAAGTTTAATAGGCTCAACAAAATCGCTATTTTATCTATATAGTGGATCGATTGGCATCCCAAGGGTAATATTTTGTTAGCAGGTGCTTCAGATTCTACTATCTGGATGTGGGCAAGTACGTTTATTTTAAATTACAGTTATTGTTTTTATAAAAAGAAGCTGCCTTTTTGACGTTAAATTAAATGTGTACCTTAGTGCCTAGCGGTAAATTCATGAACATCTTCAACGGTCATGCTGGTGCAGTGACGGCCGGCCATTTCACAGCCGATGGTGGGATATAACGTTTTGTTTATATTGAGTCAGGAAAAAGAGACTTATCGAGGTGATGTTGCTGTTATAGGCAAGAAGATCGTTTCTGTGGCAGAAGATTGCACGATGATTGTTTGGGATCCTAAGTCCGCTGCTGCTATGTACCGACTTTCTGGTGACGATGCACGCTTCCACACCGAGCCTGTTACCAGTGTGGCTACTAACAAGGATAGCACACTTGCTATTACTGGCTCAATGGATGGCAAAGCACGTCTTATCAATATAACCAACGGTCAGGTAATGTAGTCACTAATTGAGAGTATGAGAAGAGCCGGGTATGATGATATCCATTTGCTTTTTAAAATACCCATTATTAACAAAATCCCGAATTTTCTTGATATAGATCGTTGCATCTCTTGAAAATCACTCTGAATCTATAGAAACCACCGATTTTTGTGATGTGTAAATTATCTGATGATACACATGCGTTCTGATCATGGCCCAAGCTGACTTTTTCTCTATTCTAGACTTGGCTTAGCAGCTACTGGATCTACAGATGGCGCCATCTCAATTTGGGATGTGCAGACTCAACGATTACGTCAAACCTTATCACATGAAGTATGTAAAGAGCACTTTAAATGATTTGCACAGTAATGTTATGGGTGCGCCAACTAAGATTCTACTTGATTATTTACATTAGGATGCGGTAGTCAAAGTTCAATTTGTAAAGAACTCTCCTATGCTGGTGTCATGCTCAGCAGATCGATCGGTGAAGATGTGGGATTCTCGGACTGGACAAGTAGTCAAATCGTGGGTTGGACATAATGATACTGTACTTGACTTCACAGTCTCTGCGTAAGTAATGATTGCATGGATGAGGGAAAATACGTATCATCGATTGGAAAAACCGTTTACGGTCCACTAACTTGGTAATATGTGTCTGGTTTTTATCCGTTCAACAGAGACGGCAACACTGTAGTAACAGGTTCCGATGATGGCACGTGTCTGGTTTTCAAGGCATAAATTGATCTGCATACATATATCACCAATTCCTCAAAAACATTAGCATATCTCTCTCACACGAAATCATTCTTGGAAAGAGAAAAAAGTCGCATTATAGGAATATGCTGCGATTGTAATTGTAATGCTGCTCTTGCATCCGTAAAATTAAAAACTACTACTATTTGCATCTTAATTACTTGCTTCAACTTGTTATCTTTAAAAAAGAAGTTTCATTTTACATATATAAAGCTGTCACTTTCTCTCTACTGCTGCTCGGTTTGAAGAGAGGTTAAGAAGCATAGAAAACAGCCCGTCGTTTTTACGGTTACTCGAGACAGTGTAACAATAGTCATCCTCGTTCATCACTTTAGTGCAGGAACACACCTTTTCATCACTTTTCTTTTACATTTTTTTTCTTTTATCTTTCTCATTTTCACTCGCCAATCAGCTCACTGTATGTACTGTATCCTAAATCTGGCATAAGGCCTGTCCTATAGCATCATTCATGTATCTGCCCCGGCATCGTCACTCACTCTGACACGAATTCGGATAATACATTTCGCCCCACTCTCTCAAAAGAAAAGGTGTAACAATAGTCGGGCACCAATAATATCTGAGCACTTCTCGATAAGCATTAAACTCTGTTACCTCTACGTACAAGAGCAGAATATTCTGCCTTTTTATCTCAAAGTTGCTTTTGTAGACTTGCGGAAACAATATCATATATAAGTTTTCAAATAGGCCGAGACAATGATAACGTACAAAACTGTATCGTCACACAGTATGACCGATATGGAAATACTGTATATGTTCTCATAACAAAAACTGGGCCTCTAGTAGGGTAGTTGATGTATCTCATGGTAATAGTTTTTTTATGTATATGCTCGAATAACTGAGGCATGCTTTGTTTTTTACCTTAAACTATATTTAAAATATGATAGTGGAAATGTTTAATGTAAGGGTTGGTGTATGAATAATAAAATAATAATGTATACAGCTAGTAACTTTTAGGTATAGTGTGTACGGTAACAATGAAATATAACGCAGGTAATTTTTTTTGTATACAGGTTATGTTGCCTGCTCCAAAGAGATACCTTCCTTGTTTATTGCTTTTCTCTTCTTTCGAAAACCAAAGGAGTATTTGAAGGTGATCGAAACGTCCCGAGAAATTCGACGTCCTTTGGCCGTTCGTCAGATACGCCAGTGATGTTAAACTGCATGAATAATTCCGCAACGATGTACTTAATCTTGTAGGCGGCAAACTTGCGACCGGGGCAATTATGCTTGCCTAATCCAAAGGAAAGGTTCTCGGGTCCGATAGTTGTGCTACAAAGCTTTCCGTCATTGTCAGTCTCTCCGTCAGCAAGCATAAAGCGATAAGGGTCGAATTGGTCCAGCGGCACCGACGGTGTTTGGTTTCCAAGAGTCGTTGTTTCCTGCATTGTGCTTTGATTGGTATGCGATTCGTGAGTCGCGAGAAACACCAGCCCACCACACGGAATAATTTCACCCGATGATAACAGTGCGTCTTCAACGATGGTCGTGTGGGGAGATGCTAGTGAGGCAGCTTTGTATCGAAGTACTTCGCGGAAGATCGAATCTAAAAGCTTGATGCGACTGATTGTCTCTGGCGTTCGTTCGTCTAATTTCTCGATTTCGGCGCGGATCTCTTGAACCAGTGCAGGTCGATATGCTAGCTCAGTAATAATGAACAGCGTGAACTGGATAGTCGCGGGAATGCTGGTCAATGCGGCTCCTCCGAAATAGTAAGCGGCTTCTTTTGCTGTATGCATTTTACCAGAAGCTTTGGGTAAGTCCAGGACCATCGAAGTAAACGTCGGCTCGTTCTTAAAATAGCGGCATTCTTCTTCTTCTCCAGCTTGAGCCTTTTCCAGTTCAGGGAGCAACAGGTTCACCACCAAATCGATCTCGTGCTCCACAGACATGAAACGCTTAACGATAGGTTCTGCAATACGATCCGGAAGTAATGATAGTACGATTCCTGCCTTTACGACAGACGTGGTAAAAGTAGCCATAGCTTTGACAAGGTCCTGATTGCTGCCTGCGTTGCGACCAGCGAAACAAAGGCAAACTACTTGCGATACTATCATTGACGTAAGATCGTATCCTCGCGCCACCTTTTTTTCACCCTTAGTGATATTGAGATGGTTGTAGATGGCCATGCGTAATGCATCTTGGATACGTTTGGAAAACAAGTGGAAATTATGAGGTTTGAGGTTTGCTTGAATCGGATAGATAACTGTAGATAAGCATTAAAAGAGATTTTCAGTGTACCGTGAAAAGAGGGCGATGATGTTTTTCAAAGTATAAACATGTCTAATCTGCAGTAACCTACCTGGATTTTTGTCTAAGGGAGCAATTATAGGTTTATAAATATGTTCGTATGACATTTCTTGCACACGCTGAACAGGAAGAATCGTTTCATGCGCTTTACGGAAACTATACCACTCGGCATTCGTGTATACTTCAGGAATCAAAGACCCCGTCACAACATAAACCTTTTGACCAAAAAGATTGATGCGGAATGCTGGACCTCGTTCGGCTTTGCATCGTTTAATGAACGCGGCAGAATCGCGAGAGAGTTCTAGAGCATGACCAATGAAAGGGATCCCACCAGAGACTAGCTTTACCTCAGAATCAGGTTGCTGTTTGCGAAGAGCTCTCCATACTACATAGGATGTAGTGCTCAGCACCAATGACACCGTTGCCACAGTAGTAAGACTTTTCCACTCGGTATTGGCTGAAGATGTCGCCGAGGAACAGGATGCTGACTCTGCAAGGGACCTGCCTTTATCCAAACACCATGAATATAATGCGCTGTAGTGACCTATGTCGTAGTAAGGTGACATCTTCCTCTTTATGCTGGCCTGCCGTACGTTGTAGACAGTGAAAATGTGGGAGCTGTCAGTAAACTGAAAGAAGATATATCGTTGAAGGTAATAACCGACTTCTAAATAAGAGTGGGGGGTTTTGTACTGAATGAGAATGGAAAGTGCTGTTATAATGGTGCTGACTTTTCGAACATCTGATATCGTGAAAGAGACACTTACCTTGTCGGGAAATTGATAAATTTAAAAGAGCTACAAATAAGCCTCTTCTCGCTTGGCAATTTTTCGGAATGTGTATACCCGCTACATCTATTTATGGTGCACGACTTTAGATCAAACATCGATTACCAGATTATTGGCTACCGGAGCTCTTTCGCGCGTACAGTTGGGAAACTATGATATGCAAGATATATTATATAGCGACTAATTCGTAGAGCTCTAGATTATTCGATCAAGAAGAAACCCTAGAAACCGGGTTCTCGCATTCAAGATTTTCGTCCTGTCTTCATGCTGTGTATAAGAACAATGCATAGTGCTTGTAACATAAATGCATCGATGATGCCATTGGAAGGCACATAATTGTTTTCCCTAGCATTTCTCTGCGTAACGTGCGCATTCATAAATATATTAAAGTTCGCATCAGTGTTTCTGCTCTCTTCGTCAACCAATAGAATAGCCATACAAAATATCATTAATAAGCGAAGGAGGCTGAAAATGTATATTTTCTAGACGAGAACGTCTATTCAAAAAGTTTCTTTGGAATTAGTGTGCTATAATTCTGTACCTATAGACGTCATTTCTATTCATCTCTATAGTACCTTTCCTATGATCCGATGCCCTTGACAATTAAATAGACGAGTTACAGAAGTAACATGCAATGTAGAATATGCACTTGGTGTACATTGATAAGGAACTTTGCGAGAGTCCCGACGCGGACCCTCTGTGTGACAAAGGTAGAAGGTGTAACCCGATACTAAATAACGAACTTGAGCGACAGTTTAACACATTATACTAGTAGCTTTTATATACACACGCAACCGTTCTTTAAGCGAAAGACGATATAATCGCTGATTATCCTTCAAAACGAGGACAGTCTGACTGTGTTACCATCTTTTCTTATTTTATTCGAAATATAAAAGAAATTTTTTGTGTAATAATTTAACTCTATCATCTAGGAGGAGAGAACGGAGCGAAGGTACAAAGAAAGAGACATAGTAAAATATTTAGGAGTGGGTGGGGGGACAGTCAGACTGTCCTCTGTTCGGATAATACTATGAGGCTTTCGGGCAAAGCCCTCAGCCAAAGCCGAATTATGTATGTAGATTGACGGAACCCACGATGTATCATCTACAGTACCCGCTCGTTAAACCAATCACCTTTAAACCGATATTTCGTTAAACCAATCACTTCCCCAAAATACCAGTTGGTGAGCAGTATATATGTCATATAATGGACCCTCAATCTTTAAACCGATCATTCGTTGAACCGATCACTTTCTCGAAAAACAGAGGTGATCGGTTTAACGAGCGGGTACTGTATATCACTTTGTACATCCCCACAACGCTGGTACATACATTTCAGGTTACACCACCTAATGTTGCACCGTGGTGACTGATGTGTACAATCGAGCAACACGTTTCTACATATCTACCTACTTATCAGTCGCTTCTCTCTTATCTCTTATATGGCATTGTTGAATTGTAGTTGAAAATCTGTGTGTACAGTAGGTCGTGGTCAAATTGGCACAAATAGCACCGTTAATGGTCAAGTAATGGCTTATGTTTAGGTAGTAGATTGAATAGATGGATGTGCAATGCACTGTTGAGAAGGCCTTCTTGTTTCCGGTCTTTCTTTTGGTTTTGTTCTCTTGTATTAGGTATCCGAACGCATCAATGAAAGTAAACCCTCCTAAAACACATATACTACATCATATATAATTTGCTTTTGGAAGAAAAAACGCACTATCAGTTATATTTTCATATACTTCTTTTTGTTAAAGCTGTATCATTATTTATCCAGCAAAAAACGCAGCTGTTTTTTTGGGAAGAAGAAAAGTCCGTGGAATTACCACGCGCACGACAAAAATTGACCTCGCGCACGACATTTTTCTTGGTAGTTTGATATTCCGCAGTCGTCGTGCGCCCCGTCTCTCGCACAGTTTGAAAGACCCTGCACCCGACATAAATGGTAGATACTGGTAATATGTACCACAATGAATTTGAATAAGCTTACATGCAGGCGATGGACTATCAATGTCAGCTATTAGCAATCTAAAACATTACCAATAATTCATCATATCTTCTCAAGTCTGTTATGTGATGGATATATGGTGCAACCGATTTTGAATAGACAAAATTTCTAGATTTTTTTGGAATCTATCTAGTCAATGGGAACAAAAAAAATCAAAAAACCAATTTACAAGTCTAATAGAGTGACATATGTAGTTTAAACTTGTGTTTTAAAAGTAGATCTCGAGGAGCAGATAGCATTTAAAGTTGGGGACTTTTGGGGACTTTAAGCAGGGAAGGCTGAAATTTTGTTATATTTTCAAAGACCGTTAAGCCGTTTGTGTCACCTAAAATATCAGCAATGTTACACAAGCTTCATGGCATATCAGAAAAGGTGCTTTTTGTCGTGTTTTCCTTTCTTTTTTTTTTCTTCGCAAAAAATACAATGGAATCCATTACCGAGCTGTGTTTCGACACTTTAGACGATCTAAAAGAAGCAGTAAACGGGTATGCGATCAGTGACGGGTTTTCGGTCATCAGTAAGGTTACGAATAAACGTGCTTGCACATTAATTTGCAAGCACGGTGGTAGCTATAAACCGCATCGAGCAGCACAAGTGGATAAGATGACAGCAGATGATTGTCAGGTATGGTAATTACACCCAAATATAATCTATAATATAAGAATATCTAGGGCTATATTTTGTTACAGGAGAAAGAATATGAAGATGGTACCGAAGAGACAAGAACCAGGTCTGATGGCACCGAATTGTGTAAGCCAAGAACATACACTTGCGCGAATGGTGTGGAAAAGAGGTATCCTAAGCGACGATCCGTCAAGACGCAGTGCTCATGGTCGATATATGTCAGCTGTTGCAAGAAGACAAATTATAAATGGAAGGTGCAGACAGCGGTAGCCGACATACCGTCACATAATCATCAACTTACCCGAGGTAACAAGATATACGCGTCGGACCGGGCAATGACAGGCCATGAACAAGTCGATATTGCCACTGAACTAGACGCAAGGATACCGCCTCGTCAGATTTTACAGTTACAGTCGAATAACCGTTCACTGCGAAAGATATATACAACTTAAAATCTCGACTGGAAAGCAACGATGCTCAACATCATGAGCTGCCCACTATCATGGAATATTTTATAATTTCATTGCACGTTACCATACCGAAAGTGGAACAAAAAAAGTCAAATCTATTTTTGTCACGCACCCACGACGCATCAAGCGCGCAAGAATGTTTCCAGAGGTGGTAGTTATTGATACTACATACAAAACAAACATAAACAAAATGCCTGTCGTCAACATCGTCGGTATTGATAACCTTTCGAAAAAGGTGCCCGTAGTCTACGTTCGTTTGTTATTGGAACAGCTGTTGTTGCAGATGAAAAGGCTTTGTCTTATGTTTAGATACTGAAAACACTCGGCGAACTGGCGTGGCCCGACAGCTGCGGAATTAAGCCCCATCATTTTGTCACTGACGACGATCGTGGTCTTGCTTCTGCGATTGCCCAGGTTTTCCCCGGGAAAGCGCACATATTGTGTGCTTGGCATATAAGAGAAAACTTTGTCACTAAGGTGACCAAGACATTCGCTAAAGATTCGCAAGTGTTTACCGATCAGTGCAATCGTATCTCGACGATGATTTGGACAAGAGATGAAAGCGTATTTCTTGATGCTGTTCGATTATTCAACGATAGTGTTTCCAAGGGACAGCCTAAAAAAGGAGGAGACAAGAAACAGTCGCACGAGTAATTGAACATGTAGGATATTTTAATTGCATGCGAGCTAATAGATACAAATCAAGAATAATGTGTATGCCATGCTCTTTTTATTGACTAATACGTTCCTTTACTTCTTTATTGCTGTTGTATATATTAGGTTGTGTGAATACGAGAAACGATGGGCTGGACCATGGGTAGAGGAGTATATGCTTCTTGGAGCAAGGTCAACTCAACGCATTGAAGGAGCACATACCGCATTAAAGGATATCTTGGGTAAAGCTGGCAGAATGTTGCATTGGTTCAAATCGTTCCACAAATATTTATGTTCATCGGTGAGTATAATCATTAAAAGATTCGGATATAGAAAATCATGCTAATGATGCGATTGTATAAAGAATTCTCTGGCTTATACGCAACATGAAAAGGAGGTTTTATCGAAGTGGGTTGTCAAGGATAAAGATGCAGCAATAACAAAAAGAGTATCAGCTCCTTTTGGTATCATTTCGCAATTTGCAATCAACGTCGTTATATCTGAATTGTTTGCCGCTCGTCGTTTGACGCCAGGATCGTCGCAATGTAATAGCTGTGAAGTCTATGTCAATTATCGTTTGCCGTGCAGACACTACTTTTAGGAGCGTAATAATCAAGAAATCTTGCATCCCGATATATTTGACAAAAGATGGAAATTGGTGTCATGTACAAGTATGTAACTTATAATGTCGTAGCTAAAGTCAATACTTTATTCTGGTATGGAATTAACAGTTCACATGTCACATAGCAAGAGTATCTGAACAACCTGTCATCGAAGAACTTGGTACCGATATCAATGATGTTGAAGAAGATGCGTTGGAGCTAGACTATCAAGAGCTTAAAGATCGGAATGACAACCTATTTATCGATGCGCAGACTTGTCAACGAAAGCAAGACTTGATATCATGTATACATACGGCTTTAGATCAGTACAAACCAATACCAATTGAAGATCTAAAGTTGCCGACCGCTGTCAAAACCAAAGGACGGCCGAAGGGTGCTATTGGTTCGAGACTACCGTCTTATTTTGAGATACTCGAACAAGATGCGAAAGAAGAAGAAAAATCAAAAAGAAGAAAAAAAAGCTTTTACTAAAAAAAAAACGAATCCAAGGCAACGTTAAAAAAAAGAAAACCTACATTGTTTGAAAACGGTTCTGAAGAGCTTTGGCCAAACAAAAAGCGTAATGCACAGGATCTAAGGGATCAAAGGTATAGGCATATTTGCGTAGCAATGGTTTCATTTATATGAACTTACACCGTTTGTTGTGTAGCTCGACAATACATCCAGATATTCCATTGTCGTACATTACAGACTCGGTCGAGATAAAGCCGGACAGATGGTGTGGTTTCAGAACTTTGTCGTATCTCGAATATAAAAGCAATTAAGATAAATACGCCGACATCAAAAAAAGAATGCACGAGTACGTGGTGGCTAAGGGAAAAAGCATTTGTTTGACTTACATCTGTGGTGGCAGCCAGACAGAATATGAAAAACTGGTCAAAAGGATGTCTTACGGTGTCGCCTATGGTGATCTTGAGGCCGACTGTCCCAGGGAATACTGGTTTGACGGAAGCGTCGATATTCAGGTGGCAGCCAATGCGTTGGAGCGGCCAATTGCTTGCTATACGTCTGGTCCATGTGCGAAAGATTATCCGCCGTCGCCGACATTGCCACACTCTGTACCTTCGGGCAAACGATATAGTCTCTTGCCGTTCGTTATGCATTTCGTGAAAGGGAACCATTGGGAGCCGGTCTTGCTGCGATCATCTGTTAAAATGCAATGGTCCCCGATATCACAGCGACATAAGCAACAATGGAACGAGATCAACCCAGGTCACAATCACAAAACGTTTTGGAGATACCTGCATATCAAGAAAACAGTAGATCAGAAATCAACAGGAAGTAGCCTCGAAAAAAGAAGACAAGCGTCGCCCATTCTGATTTTGGATGAGTCTGACGGCGATAGTGATACCGCAGGCGATCATAATGGTACCTATAACATACCGCTTCGTATCTTTGTATTCTAGTAATTCTGATTTGTTATACTATCTAGATCACGGTGCAATAGCATGTCCCCATTGTCAGACGCGTCTGCCTTTACCGTTACCTCCTTGTACTGTACAGAAGCAGTACAATGAATATCTACAAAAAGAAGAGAAGCATAAGAAACAAGAAGAACGCCGCATAAAAGAACTCTCAACGTCTCGTCGCCGCCGCTTCGATGAAGCACAGCTTAAACCCAGACCAGTTCGCTTTTTGGAGCAATACAACTTCTGCAGCGTTCATAGGAAAAAAATGTTGATCAGACCAGAAGGAATCGCTTAAGGTTACGCAGCTCATATCGATTTTGCGACCTTGCCTTTGCGTGTCATGAATAATGTACCAATTATGCAAGATATCATAGTCGGCAAAACCGAAAGCAGATTCAAATCGATGGAAACCGAATTCTACTGCCAACATAGCCGAAGCGTTGCACGATCCGTATTCGCACGAATGGCAAGGGCTGAAAAATCTTTGGTAAGTACAAAAGTTATCACTAATTAAAATAAAATTACTAAATTATTGTTTAAAACAGTCTGGTTATTATGGACCTCGTGGAATGCAAATCATCATGGATTGTTTGACCAAAGAACTATCAAAGTCGAACCACCTGACAGCAGCAAATACAGCTCCGATGCCACCACTTCAGTGTGTCCAGCAAATTCTTGTTCCGGAGACGGCCGCACGACTTATCCAAGAAGATAAGAATGTTTCTTACGACGAAGCATTGAAAATCATGAAAAAGAGTGCTAAATTCGGCAGTGCCGTCAACCCCACCATGGATTCGGATGAAAGCGAAAGCAGTGATGAATGAGTATAAAAACCAACACGAATCATAACCCCTTAAGCAGTTCTGCACTTTTTTGTGTCAAATGTCGCTTACCTCAACGTACTTGACGATTTGTGTTCTTCTAGTCTCATATTTAAGCTCTTGTGCCTTGTCTCCGGATATCATTGTTCTTTATAATCATTTAAACACCTATTTCCCTGATCCCTTATTTCTTACTACATGCTTTGTTCTTCGCCCTCCAAATCTTCAACCATTTGGTTGACACATTATTATCATCTTTCATTACATATACGTCGAATATTACACTGACCGTCAAAAATTTTAATTGAATAAGATTACATGACAGCCCTAGCTCTGGCAAGTTTTACAACACGAAACACAGGATATGTCTTTGCAGCCAATACCATCGTCATTGATATTAAAATGGTGAAAACACTTGGTCCACTGTCTACCCATTTTTCTATAGTCTTAGCTACGTCTATAGCGCTGACTAAGAAATCGTTTCGCTTGTGCTTCGCTATATTATAATACTGTACTTATGTTGGCACAAAGTTGTTTGCTTGCCATTTGGATACACAGTTACTCGGCATATATCATCATAGTTTTGTCTTGGTGGGGGCTTTCAAACTGTGCGAGAGACGGTGCGCACGACAACTGCGGAATACTAAACTACCAAAAAAAAATGTCGTGCGCGAGGTCAATTTTTGTCGTGCGCGTAGTAATTCCCTTTGTATTATAACATTTTTCCGCGCTGTGTAACCGAACCAACATAGCATCTGTCAACGCCAATAATTTACTGGAGGGACGTTGGGCTGTTCTTATTATCTATAGCTTCCCCCAGAGATGATATGATACTTCAATCCAGTAGTGGTAAAATATTCAACGTGGGTAGAAGGATCTGGTGCCTTTTTAAGAAGAAGGAGAATGGAAACTTCAGTTAATTAATAAGATGCTTCCACAGCAGGCTTCATTTTATATATGATAATAGCTTACAAACATCTTGCCCATGAGTGAGCATGAGACCTGTTATGATATAGGCATTTCATAATAAATTTTTATCACTTTGACATATTGCTAAGTGTTGTGCACGATAGGGCGGAAAACGTGTAGATTACTTTTTGACTGGTGTTTTGTAGGTGGTGTCTTATTGATATATCAACTCAAATGATTCCAACATATTCTGTTAATCATGAGCAAGAGAGCAATATAATTTAAGATAAAGAGGTGGTGGAAAAAATTCTGTATGTATATTTGTAGGGAAATGGTGTGATCCAACAAACTAGGATACAGTCGCGTACAAATGTGTAAAACAACAAAGCTAACTAAATGCGATTCCTCCTGCATCTAGAATCTTTCCATAATAAGGAGCTGCTAACAGACGGTCGAGCAAAAAAAATCTATAGCTTAATAAAGTGTGTCAATTGTCCTCCTTATATTTATGTGGTTTTACACACTTTAAAATTCGACCGGAAAGCAACGATGCGTTTACGAACCCCAAGTAACCAGACCGGCCATTAAAATCTTTTGCGAAAATCATCCATATGCTAATCCATAATGTTATGTTCGTTACACTCAAATCAAACGCTATTATGAAAACATCCAAACTGCTGCCTCGACCTTTCGGCTACCATTATTGAATGATAGGGCTCTGGTTGATGAGACTGCTCCTTCAAACAGTGCAACTGAGTATTTGACCAGATTATGCTACTAACATTCATGCAGTTATGCGGTACCAAATAACAACATGACCATCAATTTGACATGTGCGACTCCTGTGTTAGAAAAGGACAACTGTGTATATGAAAGAAAGCAACCCTTCCTTGACACACTAGGAAATCATTTGAGAAGAATTTATAAGAAAAGAATTACACTCAAGACCAGTAAGCGTACATAAAGGGAATTGTTCTACTAATAGTTGCTCGCTTCATTCTTGCTGTCTCGCAAAGCAGGGTTTTCACATCCGCTTGACGGAAGTATAATATTTTCTTTATTTATTTTTCTTGCCTCGATTGCTTGTCAACATGGGAAAATCAGAAAAGAAAAGAAAGGAAGAGAAAGATCAAACTGTAAACATTGCGGCTTCAGAGGAAGTGACCAAGGTATGAGAACTTGAAATCTTGTAAGAATATGAGTACAAATCGCTCACTGTGAATTAAGAGCAAAAAAAGCAAAAAGTCAAAGAAGGACAAGCATAATAGTGAAGGTCAGTGAATCATTGCCCTCCCTGCTCTCCGGCTTGAACGATTGACTAGTCGCTGGCATCAACAATCACTTATATTCTGTAAAATTAGTGACAGTGAATCTGACCGTGACGATGGATTTGTAGAAAAGAAGCGCAAACGTGAAGATTCCTCTGATCCTGAGAGCAAGAAAAAGTCAAAGTCGGATAGCGACGAGAGCGTAAAGAAGGATAAGAAAAAGAAGAACAAAAAGAAAGAAAAGAGGCAGGAAGAAAAGAATGATGAGCCAAAAGCCAAGAAGCAACGAAAACACGCGTGTGAGGAGCCAGCTGCGCCCACTACCGGTACGCCAGTAATTGAAAAGGTACGTGTGGCGATAGGAAAGTGGCGGCATTTTGTTGCGTGAATAATAGAGCCTGTGATAACTCTTGCATTATGTAGAAACAGGAAAAGGTCGTGCCTGCTAAAAACGAACAGCCATCATCGACTACGACAACAGGTGGTTGGAACAATTGGGATAAGGCTACGTTCGACGGAGACGGAGCACAGAAAGACAAGTTCATGCGCCTCTTGGGTGCTAAAAAGGCTAATAACCAGCAGCCAGCTCCCAAAAAATCAGGTGGAGGAGGCCTATATGGTTCGCTGAAAAGTGCCATTGACGAAGATGAGAAGACGCGTATATCCAACGATTTGCAAAGACAATTTAACGACGGACTAAAGTTTAGAAAACAACAGCAGATGGGTCGTCGTGGTGGTTTGGGTAGTTAAAGAAGGAGCAAGGAAAATTCACATAGCATCATTACTCTCTGTATCCATCATTCTTCTGTAACGTTTCCATTATTCTAATGCGTGAGGACTTCTTTATGTGCATAATTTTTTGTATATTACATTAAAATAAAGGACTGTTTAAGCAGACTTGGCGAGCTCTATAGAACGTAAAGAAAACCATATATGATTAATATCTGCACCCCAAATGTTTCCTCTTCTCATTGGTAAAGACATAAAACTTACTCTCAACATCAGTAACAGCTTGATCCAAAATCTGCTGCTGGATGGAGGGGTCCTGCAAATCCTTCTGGATCTTCTCGATCAAGTAAGCAGCCAATTGCTTCTGCTCGCGCTCACGGAGGTTAGCTTCGTGACGAACCCACGAGTCGAGGGTGCCCTTGACTTCTTGAGCAACAGCGACCTGCTGCTTCAATTCAAAAGCCTCAGCCTCAATCTTGGCGGTCTCGCGGGACAACTCGAACAAACCCTTGGTGACATCAACAAGATCCTTCATTTCGCCAACTGAGTCAATACGCTCCTGAACGGCGGTCTTGTGGTCGGCACGAGCCTTGTTCAAGACGCTCTTGATACGCTGTTGTTTTGTTCTTTGATTAGTATATCTTTTACATACCAAAAGTAACCGATTACACTTTTAGCTCCTCCACCATTCCCTTCTCAATTCAGTCGCTCCTTCTTTTTATATACCTCAATGTGGTCGTTGGCCATGTTGTTGTAGGGTTCACGAAGGTACTTGAGCAAAACAGCCAAAAGACCACCAGAGGCAACCAAGACCAAAGTTTCCTCGTTCAAGATGTAGATTTCCTTGGAGATCAGGGCAGCGGCAGCACCACCACCAACGGTCAAGTAGGCAGCCTTGGAAGCAAGCGAGTCGCCAGGAAGCGAGTCAAGGATAGAAGACTTCTTGGGGGCAGCTAATACCGCACAACTTAATATCTTTTGTCGCGATAGTGATATTTTGTTATGTTCCTATCTAATTATCGAGTTACCTTCAGTTTCGGCGGAATAGGCACGGACGCTGAAGGAATAAAAATTATCATATATTAACGTTAAAATATGTAACGATGGTAGAAAAAATCATTGTACGTATTGGACGAGAAAAAAAACATACGCAGCAATGCCAGCAGTACGGCGCGAGGCGCTCAACATGGCAGGACGGGCAGCGGTAACTATATACATATGTAATAGCGCACGCGTGTTAATCGTTGTCTAATTTGCTACCGACCGAAGAAATAAAAAGTAATGATGAGGTCTTTTCGAGAAATGTACCTGCAGCGTTCTTTGTCAGCAGTCTAAGGGCCATTTTGGTCTATACTTTTTCAAGAAGGGTAAATTTCCAAACTGCTTCAAAGCATCGTTATAGTTAGGATTGTCCACTCACATTTTTACAGTAGAGAGAAGACGGACGGGGGTAGACCGTGGCCGAAAAATAGGCAAGCGGTGCCTATGACATCGACGTGACTGCCTAATCACTAATTCATGTATAGAATGCTTTACAAACCTGAGCGTAAATTATGCCTACAGTTGTCAGTGTCAAGCTTTAAACTGAACACCATGACAACTTCAACACGTTTACAGTGTTGCATTATACACCACGCAATAAAGTAGTATATCCATCACTTTATAGTCAAGACATGCTTGTCCAACTTTAGTACATTGCTCAACAATCAATGCGCGTCGTGTTATTTAATACCGAGAATAGCGTAATGCTATCTCGTGCAAGCTGCTATCAGGAATGCATGCATATCTGGAGACGAAGAATTGCTGCATAAACATATGATCCTATGTGGTGATATGGGGGATAATACACTTGGATTTACGAATCGAAAAAAAATATGTACAAGCTATACGAGTTTGGCATTTTCAGGTTGTATGGTGTGTACTTTTCTTTGGTTTGATATCATATAAAACACTACTCGGGTTTCAGGAAACCTCGTTCTCTGTGAAATCCTTGTTCCGGTGGCCTCGATGATGATGATGCTTGCTTATGTCGCTTGTTGTCGTCATTGTCAAACTTGCGTGTCAGCATCGGTCGCTTGTTTTTATCTTTTTTCATCTGATCCTGCAACCGTTTCTGCATTTCGTTCAACGTTTCGTTTTCTTCCAATTCCGAAGCTTTGTCAAGATTTTTTTGGTGTTCTTGGTCCTTCCTCCGGGCTGTTTCTTCTTCGATAGCCTGTGACCCCATAGTGCACCGTTATAAAAATTGCCTGTATCTTAAATTTCTTTGCATATCAGCTTGTACTGACCTCTGTTTTCTTGTTAAACTCTTTGAACGATTGACGTCCTTGTGAAACTGGTTCTGTGAAAGCAAGGTAACTTGGTTGATAGTCAACTCGTATTTTTCTAAGTAAACAAGATATATTGTATTAGTTTGTCTCTGTCACTTAATCAACCTCTTCGAACGTCGTGTTTCTTCGCCACCCTTTTCCTAGACATTTGTGCCAATTGTACATACGGTTTCTGCACCTCATCACTTTCGTATTCTAAAACCCATTCCGATTCTGTAATAATTCGCTTGCGTTCTCTTTCGAGCTCTTCTTGTTTTTCTTTTTCAAGCGATCGTTGCATGAACTTAAAATAAAAACCAAAATCGATCAGCCACAAGTTATGATCGGTATCGTTATAAAAACAAACACAATTTCACAAAAAAAATGCCTTTACCTTCATGCCCAGCAACCTGCTAGAAGGCTGCTTGCCTGTAGCTTTTGTATTGTCTGCCATGGAGAGAGCGCGTTTACGAGAGATTTAAAGAGTGACTGAGCGAAGAGACAGCGGGCAGCGCAGTTAAAGTGCAGTGACGAATAAGGAAATTTTGTTCTATACATTTTTTCTGTCAGTCAAAAAAACGTTGCCTTGTGTATATCGCCAACCTTGTTCTGCTTTTCAATTTTTAGCTTCTTGCACCAATAACGTTATGGTGGTGGCTCAATACGCTAATCCAGAGATTCGTCCTGCATTGACCGATGAGGACAAGCATAAATGCATTGACGTCCGTGTCAAGGTTTTTGTCGACGAACAGAAGTACCCTTTGGAAAGTGAAATTGACGAGTATGCACTGACAGCTATCTTTATCTTATCCAACAGAAAGATATACCTTAAATTAACTTTCTATCTGCTCGATTGGCATACACTTCTTTAGTGAATACAATGCAATCGCTTATAACTGGCTTGCGACGTGCGACGTGGCTAACACCAAAGAGCGTATCCCAATCGGTACTATTCGACTGATCCCTGGAAAAGAAGGAGTAGCAAAACTTGGTCGACTTGCTGTCCTTTCAAATGCTCGCGGAATGTCGCTTGGTCGAAAGCTTGTGCTTGCTTTTTTGGAAGGTGCTAAAGAACAAGGTTACAAATCAGCTGTTTTGGAAGCCCAGATCGATAAGCGTATCTTTTATGAGAAGCTAGGATTCGTGGTGGAAAAGGGTGATGAAGAGCCCTATCCAGTAGATGGCACTCCTCACCTCAAGATGTGGATGAGATCGCTGTCATAAATAGATAAGAGAAAGATTTTAGTAGCTATACAGAGGGTAGAGAACCTCTTTTGATATCATTATAGATTTGCACACTACCATGTTACATACAATAGAAATGCTTACATATCGAATGACATGATGATAGATAATCAGTACGAATTTACATACCTGACAGAAGGACCTTGATGGTGCCAAAAGCCCCGGCAACCCCTCCCCCCCGGCTCTACTCTGTTAATATTATTTATTTCCATGTCTAGTAATCTGATCGGTAGTCCTATTTGATATGATAAGAAAGACGATATTAATGTAAAAGAAAGAATTAGAACATATGTATGCTATGTAGCGTACCCAAGTTAATACATAGTAGTTGAGCCGGAATTAGCATTAGCACAGTGGACCCCGGTTTTGGAACTCCCGTCAAAACTTGCAATTCGCAACATCTGTTTTATAGGTTTGCATTTATTCAGAGGTAAAATATTCTCGTGATATGCAACAAACATATGCTTTGGCGCTTCTTGCATCTTATCAAAGAACACTTTAAGCTATCAAAGGTATAACAAGTTGTTGCATAATTTAGAGGTGGCATTTTGATCATAAAAAAAATATACCTCTTGCACTATTTCTTTATTGATAAAAATATGTTGTAAACTAGCGCAAAACCCAACGACTTAGAGGTAAAAGAAACCGTTGCTTTAAAAAAACGGAAAACAAGGATAAAAATATCAAAATAAATAGCACGTGCTTTAGATTGATGGTGATAAGTAAAGTCTTCTAGAAAAAACTGTCTGCAAAACATTATCTTCGATACGTATCACGCTCTTCAGCATTTAGGAAATTGACTACCGTGTTCAGTGTTTGCATCTTTTGTGCCATAGGAAGTTCGATAGAAGCTATAGCTTATATGGATCTTCACTATTATCAATAACTGTGGGTTGTTTTGCTTCGATACAGGGGCAACAATTTATGCATCTGTCGTTAGTGGTGGGGAAGCCTCACCCTCGTACTCAAGATCAATAAGACTATCCATCGTTGACTCATTTAAAGGTAAGACCGTATATGTTTTTTGGACATAACCATATAGGTGATTTTCGATGTGTTCTTGTCTCGCCGTTTCTTCGATATCCGCCTCAATGAAGTTCGGATTGAAGTCAAGAGCGCTTGGTAGAGCTTAAACAAAGCAATGGCGAGCGGTATCAGAAAGTACATGGTTTAGCACAAGAGAGCCGCATCCATTTCATGACAGTTGAGATTAGTGCCCAAAAAGTCTGTCCGCCGGTTGACACCGATTCTCGACCTTGACAAGCCCTAGTCTCTTCGTAGACTCGTTGATACATGAAATTGCTATTAAGCGTAATCTATCTATAAATTAATGTGTTATTCATAGGTATTTGGAGGCTATTATTATATTTCTGTATTTTAAAAACCTCAAATGAAATGGTCTCAAGTGAGCGAATGGTCCCGACATCTAGATGCTGCAATGTGGGTATCGTATTTTGGGGGAGGTACACAATCTCACATCGCAAAGCACTGCCCGGAAAAACTGTCCGGCAAGAGCAAGACGTTTCGTTTCTGAGAAACCAAGGCTCGACCTAAACGCCTAAAATTCGATTAGAAGATAGAGCTGGTCACCCCCCACCGGTCATGTTTGCAAAATATTAGGAAAATACGTGCGATGAAGCGACAATTAATTATAGTAGTGGCAATATCTCAAGAAAGAACAACTGTGTGAAAAAAAGCTACATAACTACTTACCAGATCTTTCCTTTCTAAAACACTTCAAATCGAGAGTTTTCCCATTTATCAACGGCTCACGGATTTCACTTCCATCCGCGTTCACCGTCAAGGCAACAGTCATTCTTGACTTGTCTTGCTTCATCCCTTCAATGCGTTTTATACCCATAATAGTTATAAGAGAAGGTTTGGAGTATAAGAGAGCGATTTTCGTCCATGTTGTAAACGTCGCACGGCTTGTACTTTCTTACTTTGTCAATGGTGTCAGGAAGCTATTTAACATGACCGTTGAATCCATGGTCCCAGATACTCCATGAGTTCGAAGATGGTCAATCATATACTTCATAAAGCAGTCTTACCTGCCATTCGATGTTTATAGAATTCCTTGGGGATCGCCCATCTTTCTGCGAACTTAAGCCCAGCAGTGGTACTGGCTTTCCAGGTTAGCGGCATGTTTTTTTTTCACATTTTAGATCCAAAGGTACATCGCTTCCTCAACACCCTACACTAAAATTATCAGTACATCTTAGTAGTACTTGCACTGGTACTGCAGATGGTAGTTTTATAATGACGAATCGAGTCTTTTGAGATTTTCTCTCCAGAAAGTGGCCGTTCCCTTGAGTAGGGTCGATACGTCTCTTGTGTGCTAAAGATTCAGAGATTTGGCACCATTATGATAGTACGGAATTTTTCTCCCAGATACGATATTCCTCGTTGGCTTTGAAAAAGAAGACTTTTAATTGTAGGAAAACAAGTAATTCAAAGTAGAATGATTATAAGAACCTGGAAGAACAACAAAATCAATGTTAGTGAGCTCCTTACCTAGACTCATATTGGCTACGTTGGAGATAACTATACATCTTACTTCAGCTACTTGCATAGTAGCCAATTTGAACACTTTACTATCATAAGTGAGGGTGTTTACTAAAAAGAGTAAGCAAAGCCCTTATATACATATCTGATAACACATTTCATTTTAAGCGGTGGATGATAGATCATATTATGTACATACCGCAGAATAACAGATGACAGAGAAAGTGTATTGTTTTTAGCATTACTGTAGATCATACAGTATTGTAAGTACAACTATGTCTTCTTACATGCGAATTTTTCTGGATGTTTGCTCTAGAATTTTTATATGGGTTGGGGAGTATGATACTGCGCTCTGTCCAAAGTAATGTCTCTACAGTAATGTCTCTACAGAAAGAAACATTATATAAAAAGGCCGACACAATGTAATAAATTCTTTCACAATGACTGGGATCTGCTCACAAAGTTCCACATATAAGCTGTAGACAACGACCGCGCTCGCAAATTGTCTACGAGCAGAATCAGTAGTTGCTTGACTATACACCATTCAGACGTGCTAGATGATCGTCTGTAGCTATTAGTAACAATTCAGAAATGAGCAGCAACATGCATAATAAAAGTGATCGTAGTGCAACCCAGCAAGGTCATTGTAAACCCAGAACTATATTTTGTGCCTGTGCACGCCGCGCATACGTTTTATATTCTTTGTTAGTGATTACCATCAATGCAGCCTCGAAATCGTCCTCAGAATTCACCCTTACGAGCAGATTCCTTTGAACTGACTTCACCTACCTCGCGAATACTAACCGGTAGTCCTGGTGGTGGCGATGGCAGCCTATCAAATCTACGCGAAATATCCGCTTCCCCGATCACACGCAACAATCACAACACCAGTGAATTGCACTCTATGTTAAGCGACCCGCAAGTGGAAGATTCGCCACTACGTATGCCATTTTCGACACATACAAGACAAAGTTTGTCTTTAGCAACAGATGCATCCAACTACCAGTATGCTTCGCCGATGCGCATGCATCGAGGGCTATTACAGAATTTGCAAGAACATTCTTACCAAGGAAACTATACACGTGAAGATCGATTGCGGTATCTACGACAAGACGCCGCTCATCAACACCTCACTAAAGCTGCGACATTCTTTGCCGAGAAAGTGTGTGCTATCTCAGGTAGAGTGAATTCAGTATGAAATATAGGATGTCAACGTATATAAAATACTAATAATAAATGGATATATGCTTGTGTCGGTCTCTTGTCAAAACATAAAACCAAAAAAAAATAGATGACTTTAACGACGTGTATTTTCTTGCTCAAGCGTATTACCAATCACACGAATATGAAAGAGCATTGGATCTGCTTAACAAAAAGAAAACATTAAACAAAAGCGTTCAATGTCGATACCTGGCCGGATTATGTGCGGTAAGAGAGGGTGTGTTCCTGGTGCCGGACAATGGACTTGAGCATAGAGAAAACAATGAATAATAGCTTGATATCGTTTGAGCAGATTGGACTGGAGAACTGGCATGATGCTTTGGATTATTTGGGACCTGACAACCCATTCGCCGACAAAAATGCACATGCGCATATATGGTGGTACGAAGACTCAAGACGCGGAGCAAGCGACGGGCTTATTAAGGTAAGATTATAAGTCAACCTCACTAGCAGTTTGAAAAATCGAAAGTATCTCTTCTGATGCAATAGTGTATATAGTTAGAATCTATGATGTGCTATGCCCGAGGAACAGCGTACTTGCAACTGAGAGAGATCGAAAAGGCTAAGAATTGTTTCAAAGAAGCACTTCGTGTTGACGTCAAGTGTTACGATGTGAGTTCGAATTATTCTGCATAGTGCTGTCTAGCATAAATTTCATGCTAACATGCCTGCTACTTTTTTAGGCATTGGATGCCCTGATTGAATACAATATGCTGGAAGAAAAAGCCGGTGAGTGCACATGTCTGCTTTATTGTTATGTCTACTCCAAGATGCTTGAAAACCAACAGTACATGTTTTCTAGAATGGGACTTTATATCGACCTTACCCTACGAAGAACACTGTGGTTTATCCGATGCAGATCTGTTTCGATCACTTTATATGATCCAGTTAAAAAGAGTAAGAAGCAACCCATCTCGATTAATTGTTTAGGGAGATTTCGTCCTAAAACTGATTGCTCGCGTTTATACCATTAGTATTCGCACACGGAGGATATCCAGCAAAAGCAAAAGGAAGCAGAGACAGAATTCGGTTTGAAAAGGAGTCTCGATGTTATGCATAGTACAGCACGGACATTACTGGCAGAATGCAAATACGAAGAATGCTTAAGCATATGCCAAGAGTACGTGCCAAATCTGCTGAATTAGTTGTTGATATATTTTTCCTGGTTATACTCACTTAAAACAATGATCCATGTTAATTCTAGAATACGGAAAGAAGATGCTCTTTATACAAAATCGATACCATCATACATTACGTGCTTATACGAGCTAAAGATGAAAGACGAACTGTATACTTTGGCCCAAGAATTGGTAGACAGGCTAAACGACAAGGCAGTGACGTGGCATGCTGTTGGCATGTATTATCTTTACATTGATAAATATCCAGAAGCACGTCGCTATTTTAGGTATAGCTGTCCTCTGTACTCCGTTTCCCTCAATACGAGTGCTCATACGACTCTGATTTTTTTAACGATATTATATTTAGTCAAGCAACTGCTATCGATCAGTACTTTGAAGACTCCTGGCTTGGCTATGGGCATGCATTTGCTGCTGAAAAAGATCACGACCAAGCAATAAGTGCATACGCTATGTGCAGCAAACTAATACCAGGGTAAACAAGCGAACAGTCTCAATATCAACAAAAATGTGTATCTTGTAATGTACGTGCAGCTCACATGGAAAAATGAGTATTAGATCACACCTTCCTTACATGTACATTGGCGTGCAATACATGGAGCAAAACATGCTGGATGCTGCTTTTGAGTATCTGAAGAAAAGCTCCAGTAAATGCAAAAGCGATCCTTTCCTGTTGAACGAAATAGCAACATACCATTATCGAAAGGCAGAGTAAGTTTACAAGTCCCTTTATGTTGTTCTTGTATATGTACATATCTGTGTGTGTATGTGTGTGTGTATTTCAGCTCACAAAAAATAAAACTCAGGTATCCACAAGCACTTGATCACCTACGAAATGCATTAAAATTGGCTAAAGATCGTCAGAGTCCTCTCAGCAACCTTTGGGAGAGATTGTGGGCTAATTTCGGCCATGTATACAGACGAATGAGGTTATTTCGCAGAGCGTGCAATAAAGTAAACTCCCTTAGCTACTGTTATTTTGGTAGACTAATAATTTTTTCTTTGACTATAGAAAATATGACCGTGCCTTGAAATGTTTCCGCCTAGCTCTAGACAAAAACCCACAGAACTCTGATGTGCACGCCGCTATAGGATTGATAAACCATATTCAAGGCAAAGTGGGAAAAGCACTTATCGAATATTACAAGGTATTGTGAGATGTAATGATGAACACGAAAAATATCCGTCAACACCATTATTTGGCCTATACAGTATCTAATCATGATGTGAATACTTTCAGGCATTACGCAACCCCAAGTCGGACAATTTTATTCGAGAATTGATTGAAAAAGCACTATTGAGTGATCAGTACACATCCATCTCTTCGAGTGTAGATGATACGGACAATATATTTGATTTGCGCAACAGAACCGACATATTGGAAGACTATGTCAATGAAGAGCTAGCGGAAACGGCAGACACTACTGAAAACAACGCCAATAACAGTTTCGAAGAACAACCTAGCTTTCACTCTACCGCCATTTCAATCCGTGATCCTGGCAGTGGATCTATCGCAGAATATGACGAAGGAGACTTTTCCCCCAAAGAAGATTCCCGCGCTAATATGTCTTCGAAAGACTGGTTATAAAGAGCATTCGACAACAAATATAATGTGTCCTTGTATATAAAACAAATGTAACAATCGTAATCCACACATGTACATGCTGATAACATGTATTATACACATTAAGGAAGCACTTATAAATGAAACACCTTTAAAAATATTTAAAAGGGGAAAAAGGGATGGGATACAGTATGATGTGTGGGCTACATATACATCCTGTGATTGTTCAATAGATTTGTACATCGAATACTTGCTGGTGCTACGTTATATAATATGTTTCACGGGGGAAAAGGGGGATGGATAGTATGATTAATTTAATTTGCCTTGGACTGCGGCTTCTTCGTTGTAATAGTAAAGCATCGGATACCAAGGTATGAACAGAAGGCATTAATGACAGCAACGGCCCATCGCAAGTAAACAACGGTTGCAAATATTAATAAGCAATATATATAAGTTAACTCGAATTGAGGGGTAAGCAGCTCGGGTCTAAATATGCATTGTACATAATATGTTCGGAACTGTGAGTAGCGCTTGTATTTGCTATGATGCATCTCGTAATCATGTAATGAAGATATATACATATATTATTAAAAGATACATACATGCCAGGAATGTTTGGTAAGTTCACGACAACAGCACCAAGCACCAATGGGACCAATAGTATGGTGAACTTAGGAAAAGCAGATCTCGTCAGATGAGCCAAAATAATTTTCGATGCCATGCGACCAAATACAATGCCAATAGCAACAAAATAAGGGACAAGGTAGTGATGCGACAGAATAAATGAGTGAGGCGACATGCACCATGCATACACTGCAGAACAGTATACCGCTATTGGTACGCATTCTGCGGTGACAGTTGATAGGAAAGGCTTGCCCTGCTTACGGCAAGCTTTATACATTGCGTAGAAGCTTATTTTGATTGTTGTTACAGTGACATAAAATTAATACAGTATTTCGGCATTCGCTCACCACAAATCCTTGAAAACCAATCAGCAGCATCAATACATACCATAATGGAACGTGGGTGGTCACAAGGAACGAGCCCACAAGAGCAATCCAGCCATGTGAGAAAGACATGGAAGCGATCGGTGGGGGCAGATACGGAATAATATGACCTACTGGGGTACGCCAAATGGCAGGGCCTAATATAATGTAGAAGCATCATCATGGAAATTCGGGATCAGTCAAATGATTACTGTATATAATAAATCTCGCGTATTTGCACGCTTTTGTTGAAAATTGTAAGGTGATATACTTGCCAAAGATACCGGAAATCGTAAAAACTACTAGTGCAAGGACAATCCCTTCAGTTGGTGCATTTACATAGCCCAAGTACAATACACCAGTATGGTACTCTTCCTGAGTGGACAGATAGAACCCAAAAGCCTCAATCAAGCATAGCAGCACTGTTGCACGAGAATGTCCGGATCCAAGCGCACCTGCTTGAATTACTGACGAAAAAATCGTGTTTAAAGCGTCGCAGCCATGATCAAACAATTCACCAAGGGGGCTTGAGCTGTTTGTACGTCGTGCTTGTCGTCCGTCGACGTTATCGAATGTAGAATAAAGCCAGATTCCAGCAGCGTAGCTGAGATAAATCCATCGGGGTGGATCTTCGTCTATGTCCAAAGTCGGCGCCAGGTACCATGCTAAAGCCACGTTAAACAAAATAAACATAAATCCAGTTAAGGTGATAAGGTTGGGACTATACTTGTAATTAAAAGAAGAAGTAATTTCATGTAAATCTCCAAGTTTTCTCTTAACGCGTGTGTGTGTGTATACGGGATGTTTAGCGTTTCTAGTGTTTTGTGAATCCTTACGCCATACTCTTTGGGAAGAAGTCGCTGGCCCAATCCCAGTAGTGCCGTAGCAGATATCGAGACAGCAAAGATTTATCCACTGCATTATACTTGTAATATTTAAGATTCGCTAACTTTTCTGGTGTTAAATTTTGATCAACAATGGATGAAAACATTGCTGATATCGAGTATGTCAATCGGACACGAGAAAACAAAGAAATGAAAGAAATGAGAATAGAAAAGAAAAGAACAAGGGCGCGGAGAGCCTGTGGAAGAACCGAATCGCCGCTGCGGAAAAATTGTTATCCGTAGAGACAATGCGACAAAATAATCACATGTAGCAGATTGCAACTTGTGTGAATACGGTTAATATGAGATAGACGCTTTAAGCTGAAAACCAGAATTTAGCTTAATACCTAACCCGCACAACTGGTCTGTGTGTGTGTGTATTCCAATAGTTCCCGCTTCTCATATGAGAAGTCAAAGACAATGTAATGGTATGAGCTAATCAGTTATTTCCATTGCTCCTCATAATCGATCAACCAATACTATTACTGTAATACTAGTTAAGTAGGGTAAAAACTCATATTTGAATGTGTTTAGACAAAACAGTTCATACACGAGCTATGTAGATAGCAAGTATATTCAAGATAGTAAATCAGGAAGTAGTATACTGAAGGATTTGTTGAGAGTGCCGGAGGAGGATGAACTTCGCATTATGGAGTGAGTTTTTGGGCAAACCAACTATAGTAGGCATTTTAAAATAAGCTGCTACATAGAAACGGCAATTATAAACAATGCGAGATGCCATACTTCGTTAACAGAAGAACGAGAACAGAGAGTTCAACACGCATTATTGCATATACTCACTGTCAGGACACACGTTAATAGGGTACCCGTCATTTGATGATTTCATTTCTTTATTCGTCTGATCGTCAACTGGATAGCATAAGAACAGCTTTTTTTTTTTTTTGTATACTTTATTGATGACGGGGAACCAAAATGGTACGCCCTGTAATTGAAAATTTAAACATAAAGAAGAATAATGGGGAAATTATATAGAATACTAAAGTGGAAGACTAAGCTGGTAGAAGGTTCACTCCTCGTCCGAAGATTGCACTCCCATGCTCCTCGTGAACTCGGCTAAGTGATATCGGGCATTCTTGGCGACGACGCCGGCTCGGAACCGTTGCTGGTCAAAAACAAAGCGCCAATGGTGGCACCAGATGCTATGAATTACAATGCTGATCGTAGTGTCGGAGAGTGGATGATGTGTACGGGTGGGGGGTTGGAGGGTGGTGAGGTATTGTATGATCTCAGTAGTACTCCAATCACAGTTGGTTTGTTGACAGATGATACGCCACACTCGCAGCTTGATAGGACAGGAGACAAAGAAATGGTCAATAGTGTCGACATGAGAATTGCAGATTGGACATCGATCCGAAGAAACGATTGCTGGCATATGTCTATTAAGAAGACTGCGCGTGGGGATATGTTTGTGGAGAAGGCGCCACCAAACCGTACGTGTGTTGTGGGGGATCGGCGCACGCCAGAATTTGAGCCAGCTGCGGGCTGGGATGGTCGTGACAGAGGTGGGATCGGGATTGGGGGCTTGGATGGTGCGGCGTAGAGTAGCGGTTGATAGGTGATCGATTGAGCGTAGATTTGTGAAACGGATTGCATTGGCGAGGGGTTCCTCTGCTATACAATGTGATGGTATAGAAAAGGCGGTGGGGGAGAGCAATGCCACCAGCCATTCCGGAAATAGGAGTTGTGAAGACAGAAAGGCCCGTTTGAGGGCCAAGACGGTGTTGCGGTGGTTGTCGATTTCATTGTTGTGACGAACACGTAAAAATCCGCCAGGGTCAAAGACAAAAAGATCGAATAGATGAAGCTTAGCTAATGCGCGCGTGGATACAGGAATCGAAGATGAGGGTAATAGCAAGAGTCTGAGGGGAATAACAAGAGCTGTTCCAGGGGTAATGTGTAGGGGTTTGTGGAAAAAAGTGAGGGGGATAAGCGAATGACAAGCTTTGATGATGGGATGGAGTAGTTGGGGAAAGAGCGATATAGGTTGGCTGGTGAAGAAAGCATGGAATATAGAAGGTGACTTGGAGTGTTGCATAACTTCATAAAGGATATAAAACGAGATAAGAGGGGGGGAGGTACTACTGAAAATTCCGTGTATCCATCGTGATTGGAGTGCAAGTTGTTGGATGGCGGGGTCGAGGAGACCAAGACCACCTTTGGATCGCGGTTGACATAGGGTCGACCAAGCAGTTTTTGGGTAACCAACGGAGAGAAATTCGCGGGCGACCGTACGAACTCGTCGAAAGAAGGATGAAGGCACCGCCGTGACAGTGAGAACGTGCCACAGCCTGCTGAGGATGAGTGAGTTTAAGACCATGCCTTGACCTCGGATTGAAAGTTTACGTTGCCGGATGAGTTGACAATGTCGTTGTATTTTGTTGATGATGTTGTCGAGGAAGGCTTCTAGCTGTTTAGGATGAGAACTAAGTGGGTAGCCAAGGTAGCGGATGGCTTGGGCAGAGGTACGATCGTGGATTGCGTTTATTCCGATGTCTGCAAGAGCCGGCATCCACTCCGGGAGTGGGGCACCAGAAAGAGATACGACTTCTGTTTTGTCAATGTTAACCCGGCTGTTCGAGGCGCGACCGTATGTATCAAGGATGTTGAGGAGTGCTGACAATTCCTGAGGTACTGGAAGAAAAACGAGAAGATCATCGGCATAGGCTAAGAGTTTTAACGGCGGAGGAGCAGGGAGAGAGTTTTCGAGACGAAGGTGCCTAATAGGAGAGAAAGAAAAACCAGTGAGTAGTGGTGAAGATAGAATAGAACGTAGACAAGGTTCAAATGCTAAATTAAATAGGAGAGGGGATAGTGGGTCGCCTTGCCGCAGGCCGCGACCTTGGGCGAAGGGTGGGAAATATGACCATTAATATTGATGTGAACATTTGTAGGGTAATACAGGGAATGTAAACAGGAAATCAATGGATTGGGCAAACCAAAATTCTGCAAGACTTGTTGCAGATAATGTGGATGGATACGGTCGTATGCTTTTTCTTGATCAAGAAGCATGGCGACACCAGGATGCTGTTGAAGTGAGGCATGCGACATTACCAGACGGGCAAGAAAACCATTATCGGCAATTGACCGGCCAGACATAAAACCAGTTTGAAGAGGGTTAACGAGAGTATTCAAGGGCATACGCCTAGAGATGATTTTGGTCAGTAGCTTGGCGTCGCAGTTGATTAGTGATATTGGGCGCCAGTTTTTGAGGAGAGATGTATCCCCTTTTTTTGGCAGCAGGACCAGGGTGGTTTGCCGCCAGGAGGTTGGAAACGTGGCTGTGGACAGTGCTTCGTTGTAGACTTGTACTGCGAGCTGGGCGACATATGGATGAGTAAGTGCGTGCTGCCAGAAAACAAATGGAAGACCATCCATTCCCGGGCTGGAGTTCTTTGGGGTATGCTTAAGTTGCGTGACAAGTGTGTCAATGGATATTGGGTTAAGTAAAGTTGATTGTTGATGAGGTGAAGTGTACGTCGGCGGGTATGTTGGAGAGTAGCTCGTCAATGGCGGCTTGGTCGATGGGGTCAGGTGTATACAGCCGTGCATAAAAACTGTGTGCATGGTGTAACATAGTCTCGGGGGTGGTGAAGAAGGTTGTAGATGTAGCTGTTTCTCGTAAATGCGGCATATATTGTTTTTGTTGGCGTTGATTTAAAACTCGGTAGAAATACTTCGTACTGCGTTCACCCTGTTCCTGCCAGCGTTGTTTGGCTCGGAGGGCCAGGGTGGCCATGTCGTCTAGCTGTTTTGAGGCGATGGTTGACTCGATTGCTTGTAGGCGGTCTCGATTTGGTTGTTGTTTCCGAAGGATTCGAAGACGTTCACGGTATAGATGTTGGGTTTGTTGATGAGAGCGTTTCAGGTGGCGCCCATAGGTGATGCTAAGTTGCTTTACAGCTGCTTTGAGGTTGTCCCATTGATCTTGCGGACTGTGATTGTTAGTGGTTGGATCATTTTGAATAACATCAAACAAGTGGTCTAGTTTCTCAACATAGTCATCGTGGGTGAGGTAATGAGGGTGGAGGCGCCAGTTTCCTGGGCCTGTTCTGAAGGGGAGGGGTAAGGCTGTGGTTACCAAACAGTGATCAGTCCACTCAGATGAGTTGAGGTAATGCACGTTGGGTGTAGTTGAAATTAATTCAGAGCTGCGAAATATGTAATCGATGGTGGTGCGGGCGCAGTGGCTCCTAAAAGTTGGGAGTGGTTTGTCTCCCGGTTCTGTGATGCAATCGGTAAAATGTTGAGAGATAATGTCGCGCCAGGCTGAACAATGGTTGGTGTGTCGATGCAGTTGAAGGTTAAAGTCGCCCATGAGGAAACAGCGACGGAGAATGCTGGTGCTGGCAATAGTGGACCAGGTGGTGCTTAATTCGTGGTAGAATTGCCGGCGTGGTGAATATGTTGCTGGAGCATAGATGCAGATGATGTAGAAGGGATCGATGGTGTTGTTGGTATACGTTACCCGAGCCAGTAAGACACGGCCAGAGAGGTAGCTATTAACGAGATGTAATTGGATGTTGGAGTCTAAACTAAAGAGTGCACAGTGAGGGGTCCAAAGGGATTGATGGGATTGGAGGTGTAAATCTATATTATGGTAGTAGGGGGGAGTCACGTTGTGTTCTTGAATAGCTAATATATGAAGGGGAGGGGAGGGGGAAGAGGAGCGTAAGTATCTTAATAAGTGTTTTTTTGGGTTTTTTTCTTGATTATATTCAGTGCGAGCTATGCCTTGAAGGCCTCTCACATTGAGAGTGCCCAGGAAAATTGATTGTGATGTTGTATCACTCATTTAAATGTACGATGAAAGATGAGGGGGAGTCTTGATAAGACGCCCGCTATGAGACCGGCGTTCAGCATTGCCAGTGTTATTTGGTGAAGTGGGAGGTTGAAAAGCAGACTCCCGATCAATTTCCATGTTAGTAGCATGAGAGGGGTTATGGGGTGAGGCCAAGCTGCTCACAACAGGCGTTTGATTCGGTGGAGTTGGTGATCGGCCAGTACCAGTGATGTTCTCTTGTTGTGGTGAACCAGTTGTTGACGGAGAGATTCGTTGTTGTTGATGCTGTTGTTGTTGAGAAATGTCTTTCAGACGATTGTTGAGTTCTTCATATAGGCGAGCGTCTTCGGCCCAGTCAGTGACGGGGGAGGTGGCTAGTGGATCGCGCGAACCATATTGTTTGGGCGAAGAGAAACGGTTCATTGCATCGTCTGTAGTAGCGGGGGCATGTTTGCTATCCCAAGCAGAGGTGCCAGATTTGGGGTCGGCCATATAGATGTCCGACGTCTTAGGCTCCTGTTGAGTTGGTGGAGGGATGGGAGTCGCAGCTCCTGAAGCAGGCGCCGAGTTGATGGGGGTAGGGTCGGGGCTTTGGTGGTTGATGCATCGTACATCAGTTTCGTTAACATGACCGATGGTGTTACAGCTGGTGCAAGCCGTGGGCGATCGTCGTCGCTGTTCGTGTAAGAGTTTGCATTTATTGATAGTATGGCCTTCGGTCTTGCAATAGACGCAGAACGGTGGCATTCCCTTCGCTCTGACGAGGGCACGAGAGGGGAAAGGTGAATTGAGGTGAAGATAACGGCGGATTGTCGGGGCTTTCTCGTAAAGTGAGACATCGAGTAATGCGGTGGCCTCACCCCTAAAAACATGGTTCTGGCGAGAGACATAGGCTCGGATTTGAGCGACCGTACCATAGGCCGTCAAAGCTAAACGAAGTTCTTCAGTTAACTCATTTGGGTCACATACTGGAAGTTGATACAAGTTAATCTTAACGAGGTTGGTATCGGCTGCTACACGGGGTAGGCCTAGGATACGTTCATTTTTGACTATGACACCCGATTCCAGTGCCTTTTTCTTTTGTTCTTCAGTTTTGAAAAGTGCTTCAACGAGAAGTTGTTTCTGTGAGCTTAGACGAGTCGACAAGGCGACGACTGTGCCGAGTTGTTCAACGAGGATGTCCTCTACTTCGGAACTGGTGCAGAGTTGTTGCATGTTGAAGATGATGCTGTTGGGATTTTGCGATCGGGCGATGGCGAGCATGGCTGGGTCGGTGTTCAGGATTGCGTCGTAATGGGGATCGTTATATAAAACGATGGAGGTGTTGGGGGAAATGGATTTCCGGTTGCTGTTTTTAGTGCTGGTGGAGCGGCGGGCTGCGTCAGCGTACCCTGTTGGGCGTTGAGATGTAGCCGTTGGAGTCGGCGACGATTGTTGAGATCTTGGAGATGGCGATTCAGGTGGCATTCGCGAAAGTTCAGTACCCAGCATAAGAACAGCGACAATAAAACCGAACAAAAAAGTAAAGACCGACGGAGCAGGTTGCCCCGCGCTATCATATTTGAAGACATGAATAAACTTCAGTTTTCAATTGGATCGGCCACACATCCTCGCGTCAATGCGTCAATCAAACAAAACAAATATGACTTCGAACTAGAAACACAAGATTGACAAGCATGAGTTGCACACTGAATCTTACAATAATATCACAATACACCGTCCTTTTCCACCACAACAGCACCGAGTAGCAGCAGGTCCTATCCCGTAACTGTTATCATATCATCATGACTGCCGCTGCCAGCACAGCATAATCGCAACAAATGACACACAACCATTTGCAACATCACTATTTGATGGTCAACCTCGTGATGCAACAGGGGTCTACAACCCATAATATCACAACAGTGTTCTACCTGCATTTATGTACATCATACACAGCAATCAGGCCCAAACCAGGTTTCCGCACTTCAACTTGGTTACATATTCTTATTTTTTACAACCAACACCGGTAAGTAGAATCGTTAAACAAAGACTCGCTATTACACATCTAAACACATAATTCTTCGACAAATTATAACAGTGAGTACAAAATTATGATACTGTAAATAGCTCTGAGGCTTTCTAGACAAGAGATTAAAACATGCTAGAATAGGTTCATTAGACGATTCTTCGTCGATGCTTGTAAGATGTTCGCAAGAAACAACGCCAGCGCAGTACCACGAAAAAACACACACAATACATAAATCCCTGATATTCTCCACTTACATATTACTATCATATCTAAAGAATAAACAAACGGATTACACGTCCCTTGTATTGGCAGCTGTCTTCCCAACCATATGTATGTACTCCATCAAAAAGGTCATAATGAGAAGTGATATATTTTATTCTGCTAACACAGGTAGGGGAATATACTCTTAAACAACAGATATACATTGACACATGAATGTATAGTAACATCCTCTCAACAGTTACCACGTATAACTATAGGAGGTCAACAATATACAACGGAGAGGTGGAATAGAGTTTTTATACCACGTATACACATGTTTTTTACCAGCCCTGCCAGCCTTCCAACGATGATTCAAAAAGCTCATCCTCGCCACCTTCTACGATCTTACAGATGGGTGTAAATGCAGATCTTTCGATATCTTTGACATAGTCTTGAGCGTACTGCAAGCCAGCACGTCGTTCGCGACGACCAGCCTCGCGGCCAAACCAAGCATACACCTGATGACCGACATCGAAAATATAAACATGGTTGGTGTCAAACATATCCTTGGTGATCTTGTCTTCCGCCACAAGCTCAAATTTGAGTTTGAGACCAAGCGAAGCATGCGACTTTCTCAAGACGAACAGCTTCTTGACAGAATTCTCTTCCAGTTCCTTTGCTTCTTCCTCTTCTTCATCCTCATCACCGTCCACAACTTCGCCTTCGTCGCCTAGTGCTTCCCAGAATTCATATTCGCTACCCGAGTTTTGCTCTGTAAAATCCAGTTGTTGATTCGTATTAGTGAATAGTAATAGCAGTATTTTTGGGAGAAATTTATTGCATATGTAAAAGAAAAGATCTTACCAATGACGACCATCTCGCCCTTGCCGTCACGTTCACTGATAAGCTGGGAGATATACTCGGCAGCCTTTGCCTTTTCAATACCGCGCGACTCACTTCCTTGCCATTGATAGATCTTGTCGCCAGTGTCAAGAATGAAGACGGCCTTGGATCGCAAGCTTTCGTGGCTGAGAGGAACCTCGGAAATGACGACGGCATTCTGGGTACGCGTACCCTCAAGTTCAGAGGGTCGGTGTACACGCAAGAGACGCTTGGGGATTTCCTCCTCCTCCACGTGGTTAAAACCACTGGCAAAGCCGCCTTGGAGATATCGTAGTGCTTTGAAGTAACTTTTAAAAAGTCTCGATTCACGTCGCTGGACTTCACGATGCTGGGTCGCTAGGGTATCCAGGACTGTTGTTTATGTTTGTTTTCTTGCGCGTTAGTAGCTGCCCAGAAATATATAAGCAATGAGGAGGGGGAAAAGATATATGCTTACAGTCATCCAGTTCGACGGTTTTATAGGCAGCAGTACCGGCTTCGTCCTGTAGAATAAAATCATGTTTTGTGAATTACTAAAACAAACCCTACTATCAGCAGCCTTAGAATCTTTCCCCCTTATGTTCCGTACCTGTGTGGTTTCGCGACCGAGCCAAAAGTGGATATGGTGAATAAGTCCATCCGAGTTCTCCTTCTTGGTGGTCTATATAACATACACACACAGAGACATAATCTCATATCTTCAGTGCCCGAATTGTATAAAGGCAGCAACTTCAATATCTACACACCTTAAGAACAATATAACTGTCACCTATTGTATGTTATGAGTTGAATAACACTTTGAGTAAATTATTACCCAATAAAGCATAATAAAAATTAACGAAATACCTTGGTAAAACTGGCCATATTGCTTCTCAGGTACAGTGACTAATGAAAAGTTCTGGACTCGCCAAATCCAAAGGCCACTACGAGTGCACACAACGGGTTAGCAACCAAGTATATAGCGAGGCTTCGCTGACACTGCTACTGGTGCTTGTAGTTGCCTCCTTGTAGCTATGATTACAAGCTAAATCATCATTTTTCTGAGACACGAACATTTCTTTGCCAACTGGTGAGTCTTCGTAGTTCCAGGCTTCTTCAAGCGAGCCTTGCTCTTTTCTATGCTCGCGTTCTAGTTCCGAGCCAAAGTTGGCAAGGTTGGTTTCGTCGAGACCTATATTTCAAGAGGAAAAAGGTTTATTTAGTACAACTGAAAAGAGAAGCTACGACGAATTATGAGTGAAGGTAATGGACTTACGCCAAGATGAATTTCGAAGCATGATGAAAGTAGTAAACAATTCAAGAGGGAAAAAGAAAAGTTGAAATATGCAAGTCGACGGAAGGTCAACGCGGATAATCGCTCAAAATCTTGGCGTGGTGTGAAACTTGATCAGTTCAGATGGGCTTAGCGGATATGCTACAGTACATATTGAACATGCACACTAATGTTAGTGCTATATAACTACAAGCCGTATCACTTTTCCATTCTCAACTAGGGCGTACTTCGTTAGAGAAGCACAACACATGAGCGTTATACATGGCAATCATCTTTTTGCTCTATCAACGCATCATACCAACAGATAGGACTCCATTAAATAAAAAAGAAAACTCAGATGTATCAAAGCTGTCTGATTTCTTTCGTTTCACAAAATTACTGCACTCAAGATCATCACAATGAGTGAAATGACAGAGCTCGAAGGCCCACAACCAGGTTTTCAGATCAAAGAGGATCATGTCGTTTTCAACTTCGCATCTGGTCGTGACAGAAGAAAAACAAACGCTTTGCCAATTCGCGCATCAGTCCAAGAGCAGACCGCAATTTTCAAAAAGCACATTGTGGGAGCGATCCCCACGGTTCCAGTTGGATTTACCACGACCAACAAAAAGCAATTAGCGTCAATTGGGATCCATCGGTAAATCAGCAAGATACTTTTGTTTTTCGCTGTGCTTGTTTTTCTTTACTTATGTATCAATGGGTGTTGTGGTCACTGTCCATATAAACCAAACAAATCATTAACAATATGCTGTGTAACTGTACATAGTGCCATCCAAGCAGGTATCGATGGCTCAGTCGAAATCGGCAAAGTTTTCAGCATTGTAATGTCTGGCGGATATGAGGAAGATGAAGATCGAGGAGAAGCTATCGTGTACACGGGCAGCGGCGGTCGCGACAAGACTACTGGGCAGCAAACGTTCGATCAAAAGCTTGAAGGCCGCAATATGCTTCTGGCAAAGTGTTGTGCTACGCGCGTGGATGCTGCGAACGGGGCAGATGCTGGAGAAAATTGGCGCAACGGTGTACCGATCCGTGTTGTTCGTGGCGTAAAATCTTCCAAACATGATACTTCGAACTACGCTCCTGGTGAAGGCTATCGCTACGATGGGATCTATAAAGTTGAGTCGTATTGGCCATCCACCGGCTACACTGGCCATCGTGTGTGGCGCTACCTCTTGAGACGCGACGATCGGGCTCCTGCACCATGGTCACTGCCAAATGATAAGTTGATTTCTGGATTGCTAATGATTTTCTGGAATTTCGTGCATACTAACATGCATCTGGTCTCTACGTCGCAGATTGATGAAACAAGTGGCGCCACGCGTTTTCCGTGAAGCAGACTTTAACAAGCGCAGTGACTACATGATTACATTTCACTCTGTTCTTGCACTGTGGAAGCTGCATCCTGGCTTTACAGAGGGCACAGCGAGACCTTACCCAGGTGCAACGAAGAAACGAGATAAGGAGGATTTCAATGTGGATTTAGAGATTCCAGAGAACGTAATCTTTAAGCCACGGGGAAAACTCTTGGAAGCGATTCATCACGACAAAATGAATATGCGCGTATGGCAAAGATTGTTCACCCGATCTTACCAAATTGCAACTGGAATTCGCGATTTGATGTCGTTCTGTGAGGTCGCTCTTACTCAAATGGAATTCCTTTGCCTGCTGTGCAAATCGAGTGGAAAGCCAAGAGATCCCCTCGTCATACCACTTGTTCATCACAACTGTTACCACTGTCTCCATTGCGACCATAACTTCTGCAGAACGTGCATCGACAGATTCAAGAATCGTGGTATCAAGTCATGTCCGAATTGCCTGCGCGCAGATCCCCTCTACAATTGTACCACTCTGAAGGCTGTGTTTCAATCGATGAACGTTCCGCTGGCTCGGTAACTCCTAGAATATTAACATTATCGAGTAGACTCCCGTACATACATACATACACATATACACATATATATCTTGTAAAAAAATTACGGTAAGCATCTCGTTTGTGGGCCATGCGCATTTGCGAGGAGAAGCTACTAAATACCATCATTTATGCTAACTACATAAGTTCCCTGTGAATCACCTAATATATCTTGTTAACCTGTCACATATCATCAATAACAAAATAAGTATCTTTAGCGCAACAAAAATCAAACAGGAAATATGATTTCTAGCGATGGGCCAATCCAATTGAGGAGAAAAGGTGTTGTGTGTGCGTGTGTTTCATTTCTTGCTTACGATTGGGGAAGAGGTTTTTTACTGTGGGTAAATAGGCTCAATAAGTAATATTGCTACCTATTGGTTATGTATCTTCTAAAAGGTAAACAGGTCATCGTATTTTTGCTTGTCTATTCTTTTCCTTTGACCCATTTTTCCGTTACATGTTTTCCAAAAGAAAGAAAAAAGCCCCAGTCAACCATTTAAACAACTTCAATCCCTCATAGTCAACCATATGTACAAATTTTATCTGATTAATAACAGAAGTATAAAATAATGAATGTGAAAATGAAAAATATCATATTCAAAAGAAAACGACAATGGTTTCTAATGTAGAGAATATCGTTAGAAAACGAGTGAGTATTAGTCATTAAGCACCATCATTCACGGCATTGAATGTAATATGCTGAAGTGATCGATGTTGCTCATGTTAATTATGAAGGATCAAGTTTCTACTTGATCAATATACAGTGCACCACTCCTTACCAGTAAGTAAATACATTTACGCTTGTTCATGTATATCATATACCATCATCAGCTGCATTCTTCTTCAGATTACACACGTACAGTGACCACTGGATAGCTCAATCACGTTGGTCGTTGCAAAAGTAATTCAGACTATTGAACGATCGATTTTGGTAACGAAAATTCCCTCAAAGTGAAATTCCACTCCTCGCTGATGCTTTTTGCAATGTATCTATGCTATGTGATGTGCTTTTCCCTTGTAATGAAAGCAAACATACATGTGTCCAAATAAGCTTTTCTTTCCTTTGCTTTTTTATTCTTTTCTTTTTTCGTCGTTGTATCTTTGCTGCAAGGAGACTAAGCCCCAACAACATCTTACCAGCCACATGCTTAATAGAAAAGCGCCTTGAATCACTTCAAGCAGGAGAGCTAGCATCAGCTAGTTAATAATCGACAATAATAAAACTTTTATCAGCTAAAACTGTTTCGAACACTTGAGAAGATGATCAATGATCGAATTATCATATTTTCGTATTTATACTGTTTATCAAAACGATTATTGACTTTTTGATCAAAATATCAATTTATCGATAGTACTGTATCGAGTGGGCACTGGGCACAAACAATGCCATTACTCATTGGTCACTTTATTTAAAGGTGCTCAGCTATGAAACTTTTCTGGCACAAGTTTATTGTGATGTTGCACAAGCCATGTTCTCTTCCATTACAGACTCGTACCTTAATATTAAGCTTTCTGTCAAAATAACGCATAAATTGCAAGGGTTGGAATAACTTAAACCTTTAAGCTTATACGTACATATCAAGGGTGGACCCTTAAAAATGGATTTCGTTTTTTAAAAAGTTGAAGGTGTCGTATTCTGTAAATTAGAGCGCGCATGCCTCTTTTGCTTTTCTCTTCCACATATTAACATAACCACACCGCAATGACGATCGATCCTCATCATCAGCAACCTGCTTACTTCACCTTCGAGTTGCCACGTCCTAATTGTGCAAGGATTGTTAGATCGGGTTTCAGTGAAGATCTGTCAACGATTTTTGATCCACCTCTTTGAAGGACGTATTTTAAGCATTCCTACCGGCTTTACTGCAATGTCGAAAGCACAGCGTTATTCCATAGGAATTCATCGGTGAATAACAAAGATTATATTTTCCACCTTAACACAGTGTGACAGTGACAAAAGGAGGGATGAAGTAGTCAACTAATTTATAGTTGGGGCAGTGGTGGGCAAAATAAATCCACCGACAAAGAGACTTCCGATCAAACGCTGGACAGAAAGAACAGAGTGCTCGCCAAACGTTGCGCTGCTGGTAATGTGGATGATGAGGAAGGTGCCGATGCTGACAAAAACTGGAGAAATGGGTCGCCGGTTCGCTTTATTCGGGGATGCGGCGCGCACGCTCAAGACAATACCGGCTACGCATCAAAGAAGGCTTTCGGTACGATGGGATCTACGGGGTTAAGTCCTATTGGCATTCGACAGGCTATAGTGAACACCGTATTTAGCGTTACACTTTACGGCGTGGTGATAGATCACCCGCTCCATGGACAGAAAATGATAGGTTGATATTTGCTTTCATTCTTTATATCACTTCTTCTGTGTACCTTGGATTATATTCTTACATTGACGAAATGATTTTGCGTATTTTCTATGAAGCTGAACATGAAAAATATGTAGCGATTATACGATCACCTTCCACTCTGTTTTGGCTGTATGGAAATCAAACCCAGACTACTGGCAGCAGGGCTAAACCGTTGAATCTATAATAGCTATAAAGGAACGCGACGAGGCAGAAGCGAACGAGTCATTGGATGTGCCGGAGGATGTGAAGTACAAACCACGTAGTGGTGTGCTGAAGGCCATCAGTAGAGACGTTTTAAACAGGCGCATCTAGAGAAGATTGCTAGACCACACTTCCCAGAAACAATCCAACATCTATGACCAAATGTCTTTGTACGAAGTGTCACTGACTCAACTGGAGTTCACATGCTGCTGTGCAGGAAGAAGGATGAGTTCAAGCACCTTACAGCATTCCGCTTATCCACGAAAAATCTATCATTGTCTGCGTTGCGATTGTAACTTTTGCAAGAGCTGCATTTTACAAGGCTTGGTTAAACTGTGCAACATCTGACTCCCTAAACTTTAACAAGACCTTGGAACCTTTTATTGAGTCCTTGAACATTCCCTCGCCAAAACAAACGAATCATCATATTACAAAGCTACTATCTAGTACATAATTTTTGAACTAATACACAAATTATAATTTCGCCTCATGATTATTCAATGTTTTGTGGACAAGCTCAGATGTGTATTGAGCAGCCCCCCAGCTGGATTGGTATCCAAAACCTTTAGCATAACAAAGTATCAGTATCATCAATATGTCCGTATATATAGCACTTTAAAATATACTGTAATTACCTCCATGGCCATATGCATGGACAACCGACATTTCCTGACCGTTAGATTTTCCTATGTAATAATTACATCATGTTATTGCTAACGTATAAAAGGGCTCTGACACCAAAGATCTTTACGTTCTCCACACTCCCTCTTCATTTTTGCCATAACGTACTATAAATTTCGCTTTCGATGCGTGGGCCGTCAACTCTAGATGGGCGAAGACCGACACCATTACGTACTAATTGGATGGGTTTGGATCCTCCTTCAGTCAGCTTTGGAAACAGCCTTTCAGTGCGCGTCAGGATAGAGTTTATGGTTGCCTTTTCTGCGTTTGGATTACTGCGTAATTTAAGTGTTCTTAGTTTTTGTATGAGAGTTGGATAGCCACAACCGCGATCCCTTACAAATCATGCTTATTTGCGGTGCCACCTAGCACAACTGTACCGTCCGAACGAGGAATGATGTATGTAATGTCGTTCGATCCTAATTTTGCTTTGCTATTTAGATAAAGTGTATCCACAATCTATCGTCTTCGTTTAGTCTTGTCTCACCGAGATGTGTTATTGTTTCCTTGACATGGGGTGCATATGCGATCACTGTCTGCCCACGAGTAGGGTATACTGTGGTATCGGCAACTCCTCCTAGGTAGCGAGCACCCAAGCCTGTACAGTTGACAACTGCATCGACCGCTCCCCATCCATCGTCAAGTTCAAAAGCATCACGAATATGAAGCAATCTGCGGCGTACTATAATACCGCCGGCTGATTTGAACTGATGCTGGAGCCAGTGCAAGTAATGAGGAGCATTGACCACCACTGATTATCAATGGGGAAGCAAGAAAGCCCAAAGATTAATATGAATGTTTTTCCAGGAGAGATCGATGTTTCTATAGGTTGATAATTTACTTGTTGTATATCGATAGCCTATTTTTGCACCTGGAGGCAATTCATTTTCAGGAACAAATTCGAACTAAGTAGAATGTCCATTAGCTTTTCCCTCCCCTTCGCTCTTGAGCAATTTTGCATTGGGAAATAGGGACATGATGCTATCATTACATTCTTGACCAGATTTTGGAACCAAGGTGTTTTTGTATCAGGTGTCAATTCATCAAAGTAATCAGTGCTAGGGACCACCATGATGCCCGTCTCGTGTGGAAGAGTTTCTGAAAATTCCATCCATTTACGATAGGTCACGGCATCAAACTCTAAATGACAATCGATAAAATTAACGTTGCATGAATGTTTTTTTGTTTTTATTCTATACCTTGCAAAAGTTTGTTTGAGTTAGGTGCCATGGTTCTCCAGTGAGCACCTAAGTGTAAAGAGTGAATGTGCATGAAGTTGAGATTAAGACGCTGAAATTCTTTCCTTACCTGCCCATGGCGATGTATACTCAATGTGCATGTCACCTGGCAACCATTTCGCAAGTACCGTAACACGGAAACCCTTTTGTTGCAAGGCCAAGGCGGTAGATAGGCCAACAACACCTGCACCAATGACGACGACTCTTTTTGACATTGTGTTAGCCACGGTGATTGCAGAAAAGGAGCGATTCTTCTTCTTCTTTTTCCCGACCTTATTGAGAGAAAACCAGACCATCTTTAAATATAAGGTTGGCTTTGTGCGACAGAGCATTTATACCAAAATTAGGTAAATGCGAGTTATGATAAACTGTTTTTGTACTAAAATGCGCCACCTGTTGCATATAAAAAGGTAGAATTCTTTCCCGCTATCATAAAGTCAGCTATTTGGTAAAATGCTGCTGTTATATGTATATCAGGCCATGGAAAAGAGAACAAAAAGTGGAAGAGAGTGAGATATACTTATACTGTGTGTTGCAACAGTGGAATATCCGCGGTTGTACGACAAAAGCATAGGTCGCTGAGATAACAAATCGTTACCGTTTGTCGATAACTATGAAGATAGAAGAAGCGGTGTTCTTCTTTGTTGAGCTTATACATATTGGATTTGTCGAACTTCTTAATACGTAGAGTTATAATATTATCCATCTACAAATATATGTGTTGATTGCCTACAGAAAAAAGTCTTGCTTCGCCAAAATTGAAGCGACGTGCTGTCTGTTGTCTTCGGCTCTTGTTAAGCTGTAAATGCCCATATTTGCAAGTTTAATGTTTTAAAACACTTCAGCGCTGTAGCTGTTGCGTTATGCGCATACAAGTAAAACAAAAGTATTCGTGTGCTCGAGCTACTACCACTTATAACAATTCTGCATACATAATGCAGCAATGGCGTGTGAACAAAAAAAATTGGCATCAAACAATAAACTTTTGGGTCAAACCAGATAAAGCGTATCGGTCATTCTTTATCAAAGGATTTACACAAAATAATACTTTTTCCCTTTATTTTTTCTTCTGCTTGCCGCAAAGATAGAACGAAGACCTTAGAAATGTTTAGAAGAAGTCAAGTAAACGTTCATGTAATAGGTGCCGGTGTCATTGGATTATCCACGGCTGTTGCTCTACAGTTGAAAGGGTTCCGAGTCACTGTGTTGGCCAAACACTTTCCAAATGATCCTTTAAATATCGAATACACATCAACTTGGGCCGGTGCTGTGTGGCAATCACTCGCAACAAACGCATACAAACGGCAGCAGCGTAAGTAACGGAAATAGCAGTAGTCCTCATACTCATTGTATTATATACATATTCAGCGTACATATGATGGTTGTTGTTTTTCTATGCATATATGTAAGGATAGAATTCGATGGTGATACGTTTAAGCTGTTTTGGAAGCTTGCTAGAGGAAGATCGGATGAAACTGGAATAATGGTGATTCCTGCTTACAATTACTACAGTAACCCTACAGCTGACGATAAGGAGCCGTGGTTTAAAAGCTTTGTGCCTACTGTAAATTCAAAGATACTACAGAGAAAAAATCTTTCTACCACTTACCACTTTTCAAATAGTTCCGGGTGCTCGGTGAAGGTGATGCTCTGCCTCAGGGTGCAACGTTTGGTGTTCATTATACTACCAGTAAGATCATCGTGTAATGAACCCTCTTTGAAGTGATAGTTTAAATGAAAGTTTATAATAAGAACTAGTTTTACTCACATCACTTTTCTTTTTCTCGTTGCTCTTTTTTATATGTACAAAGTGGCTGTTAATCCAGCAATCTACTTAAAATGGTTGTTATCTCAGTTCATTGCATTAGGGGGACAGATTAAACGTGTGTCACTATCACATATATCAGACGCCATGGATGATAGTGTTGATGCTATTATCAATTGCTCGGGTATGCATGCACGGACTTTAGGTGGTGTAGAAGACAACGCGGTCGTACCTACCAGGGGTCAGAACGTAATTGTTCTTGCACCACATATCCGCAAAGCCATATCTTACGTGTGTAAGTTTAAAAGCGTTTCTCAGGCTATTCTTCTCATTCAAGAATATGCAGCGGCCTTGACATACATCCTCACATAACTGATGTGCATACTTTCAACAACTATTGTCGTACGTATGACGTTATATCACAATAGCAGAAGCAGAGGATGATGGGTATTACATTATCCCACGTTCAGATGGCACAGTGATACTTGGAACCACTCACGAGGAATACAATATGTATGTATTAAAGCGCTTATACTGTATATATCCCCATGTTTAACGCCATGTATATGTTCCGTCTGAAAGGGATCCAACAGTTAACCCGGCCTCGGTTGAAAAAGTTCTTGCTGTTGCCCAGAAGATATGCCCCGAGCTAGTCCAGAAGAGTCATGGGACACCAAGGGAACTGGAAATTGTCGGACATATAGTTGGTGTACGACCCGTACGGAAAGGTGGGCCTCGAGTAGAAAACGAAATAATGGGTATGTTTTCAATCCTTAGACAATAAGAGAGCTTTCTGATAATTTCCGTATGTCAATTGCTGAATATATAATCCTTCTAGCGTCACCTTCGGGTAAAAGAGTTGTAGTGACCCACAATTACGGCCATGGATGTGAGTATTCTGTATTGCGATATCAAAGACATAACGGCTAAGACCAGAATACTGACCTAAAGGGCCACCGTGATGGTGGATGATTGTTTTCAATAGCGTTTGGGCACATGTCGGGTTGGGGAGCCGGCCTTTATGCTGCCCAGCTTGTTGAAAAAGGCCAGGCACAGTTGCAGAAGGAGAAGGAAAATATTATTACTTTATTCAGTCGTTTGTAAATAAGTTTAGTGTCGTGCCCAACTAGTTCCGTTGACTCACTGTTCTCTTTTGGCTAAGAGATATATCACTTTTGTTCACTTCCACCTTTTTTTTTACTTTCGCGTGATAACCAAATGCTTACTTTTCAGCTACATATAAAGGCATTCTTTAATAATAGCAAGCTAGAAATACAAAAGGCCAGTAGCAGAAAGCCACTCTATGTGAACAGGAAAGCGAAGATTGCAAGGTGAAGAGCGTCCACTCACTTCTGCTGCCTTACACGATATTTGGCTCCCTGGAATAACCACCAGTGACCAGACATTCATTTAAAAAAAAGTATATGTTATGGATATACAACTAACAGCACTGTCACTCAGATGGAAAATGAGCAGCTAAATGTATTTACAAATACAGCAAAAAGAGTATGTGTTGCTCTAGTCTATCGATTGTATGACTCTTCACCAGAAGCAAGCTTGAATAAATAGTTCATGATACGCTCGCCTTCAACGCGTACACCACTAATGAGAAGAAATGAAAAATCAGATCGTATCAACTTTTGCCTTGTTCATTGGTCCCCGCATGCCTTCATACATTACATATACACTTACTTGTGGCCGAACTCGTTGGTAATATATTGCTGGAATCCCTTGATTTTAGATGCAGTCTCCTCCGAAAACTCGCGGTCAACATATATATCGTCGAAATAGCTGACACCGGCCACTGGTACCTCGTTCTTAGCTAGTACCTTTTCATCATAAAGCTGACCCCATCCCTTGTATTCGGCCAACAAATTGGCAACATTCTTCAGCGGCTGAAGCTCGACATAATCATCTAGCATGAATGGATAAATCATTTCACCCGTGAAATACACAGCCTGATCCGGCTTTAGATGATCCAAACGCCACTCGAATTCTGTTGCAAAAGGTTCCTCATTGAGCACGCGTTCAGCCGCCCAGTTGCTCTGCTTGCCTTGACAATAGATAGCTTCATGTAGAATAGCATAAATGACATTTGTATCCCAATCATACAGCGCCTGAATATTTGACAACGTTTTGAAGCTGATTTTGCCCTGCTGTGCAAGGTCATTAGCAGCATAATTGACGAGTTGATGCACGGTGTCGTATCCACCAGAAAAGCCAAACTGGATACCCAATTGGAGGAAACGGCGAGGCGAAAGGGTGCCACCGTTGGGGAGAGTGACTTTGTTGTTACTAAGATAGGCATGAATCGCACGAACGCGTTCGACATCGTTTGGGAATTTGGAATAGTACAGTTTGTTGCGCTTGAGAACGCGAGGATACAATGCACGATATACAGGTTCGGGAGAGTCAACAAGTGGTGGTACGCCACCGGTGATAAATGCTTGCTCGACAGATTCAGGGCTATTCAAAGAAAAAGCATTATAAATTCTGGCTACTTTCCATGTACACATGCATTTATACAGGCACTGAAAAGAATTTGGTATGAATATCACACTTACAAAAGACTAAGATAGGTGGTGATGCAGAAACCACCAAAGCTTTGGCCCAAGAGCGCAACTCTGCTTTCGCTATCGGATGGGCGGCCAGCAGTAAGTTTTTTGCGGATCGTTTCACAATCGCGGACGATGCTGTCGGCGCGAAAATGCGTTAGGTATGCAGCCTTAGCCTCATCCGTCTTTAAGAATTCCAGCGATTCTGCAGAGATCGCGGTGGATAAACCTGTGCCGCGTTGATCCAAAAGACTGTAACAATAAAGAAGGTGGAGAAAACTTAGTATGTCAAGCCAAAAATGATTTGACTCGCATAATACACACTCACAGCACTTGATATCCGTTGTCAAAAGCAGCCTTAATCCAACCAGACGAGCTTGATGGCAAAGCAACTTCGAAACCGGGACCGCCCTTTTTATAAATTTCTTGGTTAGCTTACAGCCTTCTTTACCTGGTTACTTGTTACCCTGGCAACACGATAGATTATGTCATACCTGCAGATAAATTAAGAATGGCAAGGTTTTGATCTCGCTTTCTTTGCCCGGAGGGACGAGGTGACGAGCAAACACAGTAATGTTGTGCGATCCAGAGACATCACTGTAATCTAACAACCCCAACGACGTAGAAAGTCAGAAAAACTCTAGTTTCAGCGAGACTATAACTCAACACGTACCTAAAGGGCAATCAAAGTAGCGATCGAATACTTTGGCGCCGGGAATAAAGAATGACTCGACGGAAGGATCGTCCAAGGAGGAATCTTTTACGAGCATAGCAGTAGAGTAGGCTTGGGAGGGTATGTCTCTTGAAACAAGACCGTTATTTGCTGCTCCTAAAGCGAGCGGAAGGAGAAAAAGAGTTGACCACCAACAATGCAACAGAGACCACGGTTTCATTGGTGAAGAGGCTAAAGGAACAGGGTTTTTGAGTGGATATGAAGTGTGCGTTATCTGTTTGTTAAAAAGCGTCCTTTTTATATCGTATGCAATGCGGGCCTTGCTCCTGATGATGGCACTGGTCGATCGCGCTGGCACTAGTTGTTGGAGTCGGTTGCACATCATTTTTTCCAGGTGGTAATAAAGTCTATTCAGTGCAACCATTTAACCGTCATGTGATGCTACAACGAAGCAGTATGTTTTAGGTCTAGTCGTTTGCAACTATCCAGGCACATACCACCAAGAAAGAATGATATTTCTCCGAGTGAAAAGAAAGATCCAAAGCGTCCATTCGCATTACGTTTCCCGCGCTTTTAAGGTTCTCCACCTTTGTCTGCCTGTCTGGACTAAGATGAACTTGACTCTTACACTGCAACCCCGCCAGAGTTTTAAAAGTGATAGCCAAGTGTTGCAAAAGGCAATTATCGTACAAATCAGGAAGTCGGTTGTTCAGGAAGTTGTATCTTAGGGAAGGTTCATCCCTCTCATTGATAGTGAGCAAAACTTGATTACTTCGCTGTGAGAGAATGTAGTAATACTCTGTAAAAATTGCCAATGCAGTACACAAAGATGGATTATCTTCATTGCTATTGTTTTCAGTGCATTTGTTTATACAAACAGTGGTATACATATTCACATGAGTGCTTTGCGAGGTTGAGTACAGAAGAAATGCTAGTGTATCTTCTATCATTTCTCAAAGAATTACTTGCTGGCCTCGCAGTGATACTAAAGTCCCATTAAAAAGTATTATCCTCATAGCCAAAACTTATTGACGGCATAACAAAATTAACAGAACATGGCTCTTGGTCTCAGAAGCTGGGTAACATATAACAACAGTGGCTCTGGACTTTCATTTTTAATTACTTGTATCAACGACTATTCAAACGCCAAGTACCTCTCCACCCACTCTTCCCAAATGGCCACATTATCTGAAAAGATTTCCAACGCAAACGATGTCGCTTGCGAAATTGTCAGTGCCTTGGATAAATGGGACCCTCAAGATACTAACGACAAGTATTTGAGAGGGTTGTTCGAAAAACTTGAAGGTTTGTAATCGTGCTTTGATCTGCTGCATTTTTATTATTGAGGATCTAAACTGACTGTTCTGACCACAATGTTGTTGACAGAGGCAAGGAAAAATGTCACTTCATCACGTTTCATTAAGATGGAAGAAATTGCTTCTCGACTTCGCAGAGAGCGTGATTCAACTGCAATCGATCCAAGTTATCTTGCAAAAGTGTCACGTCACGTCGCGCGCATCAATCTCCAAACGTTTACAGTGGCTGTCTGGAACCGTCTAGGAATCGAAGAAGGAATCAACGATTTTTTTCGCGTTGTAGTACCCAAGGAGTTTGCCTATTCACATTCTTTGTTCTCGACGTTTGTATATATCACAACTTGGGCAGCTGTCAGGAAAATCGAAGACCGCGTGGCAAACGGAGAGCAAGAAGAAGCCGAAGCATATGATGTGCTGCAGTTCTTCTTTCCAAAGACTGCGGAAGCACTTGGGTTATCGGATTCGGATCAGGACGTTAGTGTCCTTCTTCGAATGCTCAAAGACAAATGTAACGAGGTAGGTAACTCTCTTATCAAACTGTGAGTATGGGTGCGAGCGTCACGCTCTCTTAGTTCCGTCTTTACAGAAATTTGAATATGTTTTAGATGCTTGACGCAGAATTTGTTGATGAGTGCCTTGAACATGGTATGCATATAACTGTGCGAGAAAAGTGGATCCAAGTATGTTATGACATTCTGGCAGACTTTGAAACTCTATACCCTGTTGTAAGTTGAACGAACATGTACTTGAAAGACTTTGTTTCTTTTCAACTGGCACTGATATATTTTTTCTCAATTATCATTAGTCAGACACACAAAAGACGATACCAGATGTAGACGAGGAAATAACGAGGCTTGAAAAAGACTTTCACGAGCAAGAAGAAGAAGAAGCAGAAGATGTATTCGAAGAAGCAGAAGAATTCGTACACAAAGAAGACGCAGACGAAGCAGACGATGTATTCGAGGAAGCAAGAGAGCTAGCGGAAGAAGAAGAAAGGGTATTAAGGGAAGCTCAACAGCAGGAGAACCGTGAAGACGAATCGGAACAAGATGAACTCGAAGACGAAGACGACGTTACCACTGGTGAATTTTCAAAAAGAAACATGCCAGACGATGACGATGAAGAAGAGCAATCAATCGAAAGCCCAAAAGCGAAACGGCCACGCGTATTACCTGCAAGCTCTCAAGACGAAGGCGTAATTGATGAGTACGACAGGGATGACCAGGACTATTTTGAATCCCACCCGCATACCAATTTGTCCAGTCTCCAATCACTTGAAGATAACCCTGAAGAACGCCTAGTACCTAGCAACACTACAAACGTAGTTGATAATGATGAGCTCAGTACTCCCGATATCAATGGATCACAACCATACCCGAATGAAGGGCCTGAAAATGCACAAAATCCCTCGTCTTCTCCATCACCGACACCGACAGCATCATCGCAAAGACAAGACGAGATTTTGCCACATGGTTTGCCACGGTAAACTTTTTGTATACTTATACTTTGGACTATACCATTCTGAACCTCATACTAAGCTATTGAATAATAGAACAATCAATGAAGGCCCTGCTTCACCTATACTCGAAACCGACAAGAATGAAATCAATAACTATGATGACGCAATACAAGCTGCTCAACCTGAACAATCACGAAGCGTAGCTTCAGCACGTCCACGTATTCGAAGAGATTTACCATTCACACCACAGTCAGCTTCTCTTGCCTCGGCACCTCCTGTAGCATCATCTGCTACCCAAAGAGTACTCCATGCTCATGGAAGAACATATAATACATGGTCAGACGATGAGATTGCAGCGTTGGAAGAGGGGCTGGCACAATATGGTGCGAGTAACTGGGCGAAAATTAAGAGCGATCACCTCTTAAGAGACAGACTACGTAATCGTACCAATGTACAACTTAAAGACAAGGCACGAAACGAGATAACATATCGTCGAACAGTGAATGTGCCCCTTGGGGTATATGAGTGTCTAGAACCTGATGCTGGAACAGCCACTCAAAATTCTGCTCAACGCTCCCAACGACGAGCGACAATACGGCGGGCGCGAGAAGCCAGTCGGTCATGAAAAAATGGAGGAAGAGTTAGTGTAACGCGGTGCATATCTTATGGTTAATTGATGCGACCAAAATGTTTAAACTAAAATAATAATACATAATATAAAGGACGGAATCAAAACGCATTGTTAGGTGAAGTGGGATTTGAGGACAAAACGTTACTGGTTGTACAACTATATCATTATATCACCACTCAAGTTGATCCTTGTGTGGATCTACTGTTCATGCCATTCATAATAAACAATAGAAAAAGTGAAGGAAACGTGGCAAAATTTGAATGGCGCCCTGAGTATTATCTGTCTAGCACTCGAGCTTCATTCCGCGCCCCCATCGCTTTGTATTCCAGGGACCATGTATTGGTATAATTCACTCCAGTTTTCGTCCATGTTATATTTGAAAAAATAGCATTTAAATGTTTAAGTTTTTCTATTTTCTAAAGAACTTCTAAAAGAACAAGGGAGCAAAGATGATGGGTAAGCAATAGCAACACCGCATGGCGTACTATATGTGGTGTCGCTAGTTTGAATGATAGGTGGTGTCACACAAAGAGTCAGGCACGAGCGAGATTACTCCGTTTCTCTTTTTTTTTGCCTTCGCTAATCTCGGTGGACAAAAGCAGCAGCTACGACGCGGATGACTCAAAATTACCCTTACGCTCCTAATTCACAATTTCCGGCACCTAACGGAGGTCCACCACTGCCACCTCCTGCACGAGGGCAGCCGCCCATGGCTTATAACCAACAATACCAGCAACAGCAACAAGCTGTTCCACAGCGACCTCCGTCATCATCAGCAAACACATTGTCGCCACCGTCTACTCCGCATCTTCATCAAAGCCGACCTGTTTCACCTTCCTCAGATCACAATGCACCGGCAAGCGCTGGTCGACGCATAAAGCGCCATTACCCAACTTATGTCACAGCGGACCAGTCCTTGGCAGCACAACCTGCACCCCCACAGCAGTTTTCTCCAATGCAAGGAGGAATTCAACCCGCAACCATACCCAATCCCGCGTACCCGACAACAATGACATCCACTCCTCCTCCTCTTCAACAACAACAGCCAAATAGTAATAATAATTATGCAAACAGTTTAGCCAATGGTATGGCCAATATGAACTTGTACGGACAAACTCAACAACCTATGCCGCGAGACGATATTCCTTTGGTTGGGCAAGTACCACTTGTTGACGACCTGGATTTGACACCACCGACACCGCAAGTTGGTCAAAACGTAATATTGACAATAATATTAGAAATGGGATGTTGGGTTTCAAGAGGGGAAGTTGAGATTAACAAGGCTAACTTAGTGAATGAATTTAGATTTCTGTCACGCCATCATCAAACGCCCAGACTCCTTCGATCTTTAAGCGCTCTACATTGAACGCGGCACCTGCCTCGAACGCACTTCTCAAGAAATCCAAAATACCATTTGCTCTCTTGCTTGAACCTTATCCTTCTGGTGTAAGTTGGTGTATGGATGTATACTACATCAATTATGAGGTTGTCATATGTACTGACAGTAGTATGGTCATGTAGACGGAAGTACCAGTTGTCACGGATACAGTTGTCGCTCGATGCACCCGCTGTAAAAGCTACATCAACCCTTTTGTTCGTTTTAATCAAGGCGCATTAAAGTGGCAATGCAATATCTGTGGTTTAGAAAATGATGGTAAGAGCTCTGCCGCGAATGAATTATTGGGGACACCGAGCCTTTCAAGTATTTAAAGCCATATTATGCTCTTATTTTACGCAGTTCCTACTTCTTTCGATTGGGATGCTATTAGCCAACAGCAAGTTGATCGTTGGAGTCGACCAGAACTCAACTATGGCTGCGTTGATTTTATTGCTTCAGCAGACTACATGGTACGCCCTCCTCAACCTCCAGCCTACGTTTTCATTATCGACACATCCTATCAGGCGATTCAAACGGGTATGGTAGGCATTGTCTCCAACTCGATTTTGAAGTCACTTGACAACATACCAAATGAGGATGGAAGGACAAAAATTGCTTTGATTACCGTGGACAATGCAGTTGGATTCTACAAGTTGGCAGGAGATGAGCCGGAGATGTTGGTCGTTGGCGATTTGAGTGACGTTTATTTACCACGAGCCGCAAGTGATTTATTGGTGGACCTCGCAGATGCAAAGTCGATTATTGGGGACTTGCTAGAAAGGACAAAGACCATGCATGATGGATCACAAATGGTCAATAACTGCTTGGGAACAGCATTACAAGCCGCGCGCAAGCTACTGGTATGGGCAAAATATCAAAGATGAAGAAGTAAAAAGGATATACGATTAACCTAGAGATCATGTTTTTCGATGATACTAGTCCTCAACAGGCGGAAAAATTGTATGCTTCCAGGGAAACTTACCAAATGTTGGCGACGGTGCTGTCAAACCCCATGAAGAAAAGAAGGCTATCGTCGAAACAACGCTAATGACTCCTTCGAGCAGCTTTTACCGAACATTTGCAACTGAATGTGCCAAATCCCAAGTGTGTGCTGATATGTTTATATTTGGTGGTGCATTTGCTGATGTTGCTACGTTGAGTAAGTACTAGGAGAAATAGGAAGAAAGGGACGGGGTTACCGGTGGGAGGGATAAGTCCGACACAAATATCAGATTTATGCTAATAAACAATGTAGATGTTATTCCACGATTCACCGGTGGCCAAACACATTTCTATCCAAGATTTAACGCAAACAACAACGCTGACGCAGTTAAACTGGAACACGAAATTGAGAAATTGCTCGCTGAGAAAATCGGCCTTGAAGCGGTGATGCGGACGCGTTGCTCTGCTGGTATGGTTTGCAAAGCATTCCACGGCAATTGTACGACACGAGTACCCGATATTATGGCCTTGCCCAATGTTCCCCGAGATCAGTCTTACTGTGTTGAAATTGGTCTGGAGGAAGATATTCAGGGCTCGCATGTCTACTTCCAGACTGCTTTACTGTATACTACTTGTTCTGGCGAGCGCCGCATTCGTGTTATCAACTTGTGCCTACCTGTCGCTAGAACGTTGCCTGAACTGTTCTCATCAGCAGATCAAACAGCGATTGCGCGCACAATTTGTCACCAGGGTAATACATATTTCTTTACGCCTTCTGCGTTTGTATTTGTTATAACTGTGATTATGGCGGGAAAAATTAATTTGAAATTTCCTTGTAGCAATCGATAAGGCGGTCACTTACAAGTTACGAGATGCGCGAGATCTTTTGGCAAAGGAGATTATCGATATTTGCACAGCGTATGGAAAGGAAGTCATTGGCTCTGTAGCTACCGGTGCTGCACGTCTTTCTGTAGGCCGCAACCTTTCCATGCTACCATTCCTTATATTGTGCTTACTCAAAACGGTAGGGATATCTACTGTATAATAGTAGATGATGATCATAAAAAAATTAGCAAATGAAGCCGACAATTTTTTGGATTTCTTTTAGGAAACGTTCAATGATTCAGGCAGTATTCCCGCTGATATCCGTGCACGAGCCACCGTCTTACTGCGAACGCTGCCAGCAGAATTATGGCTAGAATTCATAGCACCAAAATTCTATTGTCTTCATAGCATGCCACAAAGTGTGAGTTACAATTGCTAATAAAGCAAAGAAAGCTAGTTGAATTAGTGCTAATTTGTTTTAATTATGATAGGCGGGCATGGTTGACCCGAATACCAAGAAATTTGTAATGCCTCCTAGACTAAACCTATCGAGCGAGAAACTAGAACGACATGGATGCTATCTGCTGGAAGACGGACAAAGCATCTACATTTGGGTTGGCAAGGAAGCAGTCTCGCCGTTGTGCATGGACTTTTTGAACGTGCCTAATGTCACAATGATTCAATCTGGACAGGTAACTAATTTTTGCGACAAAGGGCTTTAGCCGGATTTGATATCTATGAGTGCGGCATCTGACTTTTATTCTTACCAGGTTGCGGATCTACCAAAGTTAAACAATCCGTTTTCACAGCGAGTGACAGCAATTGTTGACCACATACGGAATGAACGGAGAAGCACCTATTATCCTTCGTTATACTTTGTCAAGGAGGACGGGGATCCACTTTTGCGAGCCATGTTTTTGAGTCGTTTGGTTGAAGATCGGAATGTCAGCGGACCTGCTATTGCTGGTGCAAACCAACAGCAAGTCAACTCGGGCATGAGCTATTTCCAATGGCTTGGATTTGTGCGATCAAAGTGCCAATAATGCAAAAGCAAACATCTATCTTTTACCTACTTTAATGATAATAAATTCGATGATAAATAGACAGAAGCTATAAACAGTAGGAAAATGTTCAATTGTGATGTGTATACTACACATGGGCAAACAGTGCAAAATTTGCTCTATACATGATGTATGTGTGTCTATTTTCTGCTCATAGATTACATGTTTGATGCTGACAGGACGTAAAAAGAAAAAAACATGGTGGATTTCATATTCACAAGTACTACACGTGATTACATTATGTACATACATACACAGCGCGGTGTAACGTACAAGGTCGAATGCCTCGCGCATGTTTTTGGAGCTGTTTCGCATACCTTGTCAAATGTATTGTACTGACATGATTACTTAGCGTCTTATTTTCGTATGATGCATGACTGAGCGGTTGATCGCCATAAAAAAATCCCTGGATGAATATATTGTAGCAATAATTTTGATAATAAAAAGTTTCAGGAACGAAATGTATTGCAGCTGTATTATCATGAAACGTATGCAAGCATGATCGTCTCAATTATGATACCATTATAAAGTAATTGCTTCCTTTGCCAGACCAAAAGAGAAAAACACATCTATTTCCAATGCCAATATCTGTATACATCTAAAACACGTTGATAAGAATAAAAGGCACGGAACGTCCTCCCCTGCTTCTCCTTTCTTGATGTGGGTGATACATGTGTGTATGCATTGTTCACAAGCACAGATATAAATTATAGTGTTATGTTTTTCAATCTCGACTTTGTGGTTATTCAAGTTCTGCACCCTGCATCAACAAAATCACAGTACTGTATTTAAAGAGCACCGGCTCTGCTATTTGACAATTTTATCTATATATCCACCTGGCTGTCAGATCGCCCCTCTTGGCATTATAATATGTGTGATAGAAGTGTTGTTAGACAAGATATGATACTCTCCTCTTTTTCGTACCTTCCTGTGTATTACACGTATTCAGTATTCAACGATCTTTTGACTTTATCTATTTCCCAGTATTGAAGATATTTTAATGCACTCTCTAAATTTTTGCAATGATGGCTGTGTGTTGAAAGTGGAGTCGTAATGAAAAAAAAAATACTAATGAATCTTATTTTATTCAATGATGATTTTGTATAAGTACGTTACATAATAATTACAGCTAATAAACAGCTAGTGCCTCGATTACTGGCCAGTGTACATATGAGTCTCCTTCCAACTGGTGTAAAAGTTCTTGAAAAGCAACTTGGCAGAAGCATCCAAACCAGCCAACACCATATTGCGATCGTTTTCACTTGTCATATCCATCAAATTGTACAACCCAGTTTCCAGCATTGCCTTGACTTGAGGCTGCGAAATGCTAATGGTGACGTTGGATTGGATTGTGAAGTACTCGATCAATATGAAAGGTGCGTGTCTTGAAATAATGCGGTATTGCTGTAATCCAGTGTAAGAACGCTGTTTACTGCTGCTGCTGCTACTGCTATTACCACCAGTTGATTTCTTTGCCATTGTACTGAATATACGTGCTAATCGATACGCTGCTGATACTTCTAATGGTGCCCAAGTCGATATCAGCGCAAATTTCTTTTGTGTTGTCTCTTCGTGTTTCCGCTTTTTCGTCACGAGTGCAAGATGAGGTGATCGGAAACAGTAAAGTAAAGCTTGAAGCGTCGCAATAAATGGTGCCATTATGTCGACCAGTTGTTGGCGATGGTATAGTAGCAAATTTTGAAGGACGTCGCAAGTACTATGGTAAACTTCGTGTGCAGTTTCTTTGCTGACGTGCTCGAAACGTTCGGTATGTGGTGGGTTTGTTACTTGGAGCAAGCAGGCCAGAATTAATGATACGTCATACGCGCTCGTACGTAACGACTAGAGTTAGGGAAATGTCCAAGTTAGCAATCACACTACTGGTTTTTATTTGTTTTTCCAGTTATATGGTTTTACCTGTTCGGCAGAGAGGGTTGTCAAGAAATTCAACGCTTGTTGTATGAACTCTATTGTCTCTGCCTGACGGCTAATGGTAGAGAGTTTGGTCACAAGTGCTGGGAGATAACGTCGCAGCCACGACTTTTGTTCATCCGTTGATCCACTTAACATTTCAGACAACAAGGAGAGGTAGACCTTGCGATCCTTTTCCGTTGCTTGGGTAATTAATCGATTTGACTGTTCGATGAATCCCCGAGTCACTACAGTGAATTGCTCGCTATCCAGTTTAGCGACCCATAACGAAAATGCACGACAGAGACTTTGTGCGCATTGTTCATCTATAATTTTGCATAATATGAATATATGTTGATATTTGATGCTTACAAGGTGAAATTTATCAGTGTTGTTTCGGTTCTTACCAGTATCATACACCAAAGAGTAAATAAACCATATCACTGCAAACACGCGTTCAGTGACATATACATGTTGGTGGCGGGATAGCATTTTGCAGAGAGAACCAACAAACGCGGTTGTCATTTTTGTGATCGCGCTACGATCTAAAGAAGACGAGGAACGAAGCGATCGCTGGAGCAGTGTCGTACAAGGCGAAGCCAATCCAACCATGACTCGAGATAAAGCACTGATACCAACCACTGAGCGTATACATATTAGTGTGTGTTTGTGTATACAGTTATAAATGCCTGCCCCCCCACAAACTCAACCCATCATTAATTACATACCCTCATCACCTCGCTGACCAAGCAGCTGTGCGTACTCTTGAAGCAGTGACACCAAAACCAGCATAGAGGTATCGATCGGAGCAACTGATATCTGTTCCGACTCGTGATCAACGGTTGTAGATATCCGTGCTTTGGCTTCATTCAATGCTTGAACCACATATTGGGATAGCTCGGTCATGAACTCTTGCGCGGAGATCTTGGTGACAATGTCATCTCTAAAAGCCCAGTTTAGTAAGATCTAGTAGCGCAAAAATAAACTAAAAACTTTTTCATATAGTGCGAGAAAAAAAAAAGGGGTGGGGTGCTTACTTCGATGCATGCCGCTGCAAGGAATCGTTGATGGTTTCAACGATATCAATGATCCAACCCTGGGCATTTGGATGACCCTTCTTTAACCATTCTATTCTCATCTTGCAGATACGATCGAATAGTTCCATTGCTTTAAGTCGTTTTGAGATGATCATCGAAAATAAGGATCTATATTTAAAAAAACAACAACATTAGAACACGGGGCTTCCTTGTGAGTGGATATGAAGATTTTTACCTTAGCACTAGGATATCTAATTGCTTGGTACGTTCCATGACAGCATCTGAAAAATGGTCTTGTGTGGTTGTAGCAAGGAACCAGCCCAAAAGATCAGCATTCATTTCCTATACAACATAACAGGTCGATAAGTCCATTTCCTTCTCTTTTTGTCGCCAAGTCCGCGTAGCTAACCACATACCAATATATTGCCATTACTGCTTGCTGCAAAGAATCTCAGTAGCAAAGTACGAGAAAAGAGCTGTGCTTTGCTTCGAGTTTCGGGTTCCACTGCTGCCATAGTGCCAGCGAGGGCATCCACCATAAATACCAGCCAGACAACATTTTGTCGCTCCTGCTTTGTATAGTATTCCATTGGGAATAACAAGAGTTGATCCAGGTACCGCAGTGCCTTTGTAATGACATGGGTCGTTTTTGCTGTTGTGGCATGTTTGCCAGGTGTTGTTGAAGCTACCACACTTGCTAGCTCGTCGGCACTTGAACCGAAATCTTTAAAGTTTGCATAGCACTTTGCCAGCTTTGGGTCCGCATTGGATGCAAAAAACGACGCAAATGAGTCCAAAATGACACTCAACGAGTGTTCTATTATATGTCAAAGAGCCCCTGCTTAGCAATCACGGATTCCAACAAATGATACTGCGGATTATATGCGTTCAGCTTACCCTTGAAGCATTGTGCCTCGTAAAAGTTAGCGGATCGAAGCAACAATTCACTTGTAGATCGCAATGTCAGATTATCAGCCATCGTTGTCGTTGAAGGAGTTTCAATCAAAGAGAGGAGGACAAAAGACGTCAGTTTTTTGCCACGTTCACCCGCTGCAAATTGGCTAAGTGTGGAGAACAATACAGTAACAATAGAGAAAGTATAAGCATCCATTCCCCTTCTGATTATACAAAATAAACAAATATCGAGCACTTTACCATATCACGTCAAACCATTCATCAGCCAAAAGTTTCCATAGTGCGATTTTAACGCCGCTGTCAGTAAGTTGCAGGAGTGATCCGTTCCATGTTGCATTAAAGTCAGCGGTCCCGGTTTCACTCAGGACATAATCCAACACGCTGTTTACCCTGGATACGAGTGGCGATGATGCTGCTGGTGCTAATGGATCGGCACCGTTGGTAGATCCAATCACATATGCATAGTATGCATGTTGTAAAAGGGCATTGGCCTATATAAAAAAGATTGTTAGTATCTTTGTTACTTTTTCTCCTACCTGCTATGAAAGAAAAGAAAGGGCCTTACACTTTGAACCATGGCAACTCGATCGCTTTGTGAATGATCACTGCTTGTCGCATATGCCAAAAACACAGATTCCAGAGTATTACCGAGCCATTCAACACCCATCGCTTGATCCAACTTTGCCCAATATATATCCGACATGGTGTTCATCAAAGACGTATGAACTTGTAGCGCCGGAATGATGTTGGATTCTGCGACGTCTCCTCCTTGTTGCTTATCCAGACTCGGTCTGATAAAGTTTTCATAAAGTGCCCTTGCTGGTTGTTCAAACGCTTGTCTTTGGTGCTGCGTGAGCTTGACAGCGTTGATAAACTGGGATAGGAAAATGGCTATGAAGCGTGCAGTAGGTCGGTGTCGTGGTATAGCGTGATGGTGTCCGTGTTTTTGCTTTTTGGATACTGGACGTTCTGCAGTGAATGTTGCTGTTGTGGATTCTTGAATTCCTTGTGCGAGTCGTTCAAAGATGCCTAATGCTTGAGCAGCGGGCATATGCTTGTTCACTGTAGCGGAAAGCCTAGTTGTAGAGAGAGAGAGCGTTAAAACGGATAATTTCTTATTTTCGTTGTAGCAAATTATAGAGGCACTTACTCGTCCATGAATTGTCTACTGAAAAGCGGCTTCTCTAAAACAGTATACACGTCTTCAAAGGCAAGGTCTTGCAATGCATTGATCAGATCGTCTGCGTAGGCATCAATCTGTCTTGATGCTGCATATGTTTGCAGGACAGCAATGGCCAGATCCAAACACTCGTTCTCCGCCTCTTTCTCTGGCTTTTTATGAACAATTTATTAGATTTTTCCCACTTGAGCAGCCTTTCTCTCCTGTCCAGAAGAAACCAAAGACTTACGTTCAACATGTACGGCCATATCAGCGTAATACGTCCTTCAATAAGCGAAAAGTCGACCTTCAGGACAATGACTGCCAACTGGAGAATTGAGCGTTGATATGCAGTTTCTTGAGACGACGACATAGGTTAGGTTTATAATAAATAAATAATGCCAACCCTACTACTTTTCATTTAAGCACACACAAAACTTACTGCTTCGATCTTGAAGAAGAGTGACCATTACTTGGGCAATTTCTTCTAGTGCGGCATATTGCTGCTGACTCAATTCATCGTTACGAGCAACATAGACGTTCAATTGGACTAATTCTTGCAAAAGTTGAGATAAGGTCTGGATATACGCAGAGGATCGTTCAACCTTGTCCAGCAAGGCTCGACATTCAGCAAAGAATCCGAATTCTACTTGACGGTCCATATCCTGCGACGCTTTGCCACGCTTTTTCCGGAACGCTTGTACAAAGTTGCTAAACAGTACTGGAAACACATCCAAAGCTGGGTGAAGTTTCCTCCCTGAGATTAGTAATTTTTCTTCCAGCAAGTGACTTATCCTCCATGATCCCCTTTTTCTCATTTCTTTTTACCATCCAATACGCATTTCTGATCTTTGTTCTCCAATAATCGAGAGAGCTCTTCAAAAAGTTTCGAAACATAAGCAGTTTTGGAATTCGTTGTTGATGTTGTGGTAGTCGTATGATGATTGTCCTTGAGCACGGAGATATATTCAAAAACCACATCCGGATGAAAAAGACCTTTGACGAGGATATCTGTGATTTCTTCAGAGATGATGGCCTGAGCACTAGAGGGATCCAATTCGGCATCATCTGTATCTGACACAATACGGCGACGAACGCACAAGAACTTTGCAAACGTCTTTTCGACAATGGTGGTAAATGATTTTCGCTGATTGGCGGTTTGGACAAGCTGGGTCGAGTATCGTTTCAATAGAACCGTTGCCACTTGGGCGAGTCCGTTCAATGTTGTCTTTTGATGAGAGCGCTTCTCCAAGGCAATGGATAAAGTATCCATCAGTTGATCTACAGCAGTAGACATTTGTTCGAACGTGGGTCGATACGAAAGCGCAAACGTAGGTGATAAAAGTAATTTGACGCTAGCGAAAAATTCATCCACTATCTCGGCTGCTGCTGGCGTCGTCGTCGTTGTCGTTGTGGTGTTTTCATTGTCGTCCGATTTCAATAGAGTGCTCAAGTGACCGAGAAGTGCGGTGATTGCCGTGATCAGTTGTACGCGAATGGCAGGTGGTTGTTTTTGTGTCTCGTTCGCTCGATCGGTATAGTGAGCGAGCAAGTGGTGAAGTAGACGCCAGTATGCGATTTGGAATGCAGCACAATCGGCCGGTCTATAGTAGCATTTGTCACGAGTAAAAGAAGTGGCGTGTAAGATCGCGCTGAGAGAAAAAAAAAGCAGCAACAACAACAACAAATAGCTCACGCGAGCTTCACCCATAGAGCAGCAAAAAGAAAAAAAAAACCTTACGATTTGACTTTTGTCTTGACGAGGGCGGTGCAAAGCCATTCAAACAAGAAATCGTCCTTGTTTGGAAAAAAGAGTTGGTTGTTGGACCATGCTTCGGTTGCAGTGACAATGCGCTGCTCGACTGAGAGGCCAGCACCTTTTAATGCCTTGGCGATCTTTTCCGAGGATAGATCGTTGGTTGACATGTCACAGCATAAATAAGGAAAACTCTGCAAAAAAAAAAAGTGTTAATAAAATTTGAGTTTTCAATTCGCGCTCAAACAGGCTCAGGTATGTCGCGGTTATGCGGATCAGGTCACCGCAATAAGTGGCCTCATCCACAATAACTAAGCAAAAGTGTATCGTTATGGGATCCACATCAGATGATTATATCTTTGTTAATCTATGGTGGTGATGGTGATGCCGTCATCTGATACGCCAGGCCGTAAAGTAAGAACGTAATAAAGCATTGGTGAGAAGATGATCTGAGTTGGAGGTATTGAAATTATTAGGTTTTTTTAATGATTTTGTACGAGAAACTTGCGATGATGGTTTACAAGAAAAGGTTTTATGATACAGTTGGGGGTTCTGAGAAACGAGTAAGAGTGATAAGATGATGATGATGAAAAGAAAGCCCTAAAGAATAATGGTTTGTACATGCGAGAGAAGAAGTGGAAAAGGGGAGGTAGACCAGTGTGGATAAGAGAAAAGACTCAAAAGGGAAAAAGATAAAACAAATGTATAGAAAAACGCGAGGGATGTTGTTGTAGTTGCTTGTTGTTGTTTTTGTAGCAGGTTTGGAATGATGAAAGATAAAAGGGGAGGGGGTTGGTGTTGTTGAAAGAGCGGGCGAGTGAAAGAAGATGAGCGAAAGGTAAAGAAAAGGGAGTTGCATAAGAGTTACGGGAGAACAGCTCCTTTTCTTTGGCAGCAGCAATCCAAGCTGTTCGTGTGTGTGTGTGTGTGTGTTGGCAAATAAAAGGTATTTTATATGTGTTTGTGTGTGTGTGTGTGTGTGTGTGTGTTCAGTGTAGAATCCGTTTCAAGGCTTGCGGAACTCAAGAAGTACAGGGTATATAGCTTGGAACGCTTGATAGATTTCTTCTCGCACCTTGGCGCCCGTGAGCACAATCTTGCCAGACACGAAAATCAGCAGCACGATCTTGGGCTTCACCATGCGATAGATCAGACCAGGGAACAGCTCAGGTTCATACTATAATTCCAAGACCTACCGCGTCAGTATCTCTCCAATTTATTCGAGCAGCCACTCACAGTCAACCATATCCAAAAACACGTACCGAGCTAAAGTGTCCGTGAGAGTAGGCCAAACCTTCAAGACGAATAGGAAATCGCACATCGCACGAGCCCACAATGTTTTGGATCTTGAAATCCGTAAACTTGCTAGGGAAGCCCAGCTTTTGGATGATGCGAGCGTATTTGCGTGCAGCGAGCTTGGAGTCGTCTTCAGATTTAGCACCCGTCACAACCATCTTGCCAGAAGCAAAGATCAATGCCGTCGTTTTTGGGTCGCGAATACGCATAATCACAGCCGCAAAACGCTACGACATTTCAATTTTTTCGGTGTATATGTTTTAGAACTGCCTGAGAAAGCAAACAAAGAAAAAAACGATCGGGTGTGTTGTTTCTTTTTTTGTGTTCAATATACCTTTGGATTGTACTCGGCATTACGAGCGTGAAGCGCAATGGTCTTCAGATCCAACCGACAATCCAAGTTCACGGTGGCAACAATGTTTCTAAAGTGGCGAAAAAAAGAGAGTAAAATAGTTTAATAAACCCATTACAGAGCAACAAAATAATATGTTTATGACAAGTATATATGTATGTATATGGTTGTGGTTCAAATGGTGTTCTTTCTCTTTTTTAATGTTGATTGCGTTTCGTCGTATAAATCAATAATACTAATGTACACAAATGTCGTTTTCGTAATAGTGGTTGGTTGCTTGATTGGTTGGGAGTGTATGCATAGAGTGATAACGGGAAAATGAAGGAGGAGGGGGGGACAGAAAGGAGAAGGGGGTTTGGTGCTTCTTATCTATGACAGCTATTTATCATTACGAGCATATAAAGAAAAACTTACTGTAGAGTAGGAGTGATGCCCGCCACAGAATAAGGATTCTGATCTCTACTAGGCGTGGGAGCATCGACAGGTGCAGGAGTAGATGGGATGGCAAATGGCGTGGTGGGGTTGTGAGGTGTGGGCACTGAAGGCGTCTGCATGGCAGGTGTGGCCATGGCAGGAGTAGCGATCTTGAAGCCCGACATGTTGTATGTGTGTTTCGTGTGTATATATGCGGTCAAGAAAAATAAAAAAAGTGGTGGTGCGTGCGCCGTATGATTTCGGGGGGGGGGTGTCCTCTGTGTTTGTGTAATTGGGGGGGGGAGGAAGAGAGCCAGAAATAAAAAGTGAGAGAAAAGAGAAAGAAAGAGTCAGAAAGTGGCTTAGGTTATATACGTCCGGTTGGAAAAATGCGTCTTGGGTATCGCCTCTTTATATACTTTTTTGTCCAGTGGCTTAGTTGTGGGGCGGAGAACTAAAAGCTCCGTTCCGCTTCCCAATTTGGCAAGCCGCAGTTTTATTGGAACGCGCTGGTCCTCTTGACTCGCTCACTCCCTCCCTCGCTCACTCACTGACTGACTCACCTACTCACACGCTGCGCTTTCTGTTATTTGTTCACTTTGCAGAAACCTCGAAAGAACGAAAAAGCAAACAGTTGGCTATCTTGCAACAAACTTCCATCTTTTCTCTTTTGGACGCAGATGGGGCTCTCTGCTCAATGCAATGGTGGTGGAGATGGGCATTCAAGCAGTTGAGCAAGTAGTACACCCCAAAAAAGACATAGCGTGCCCAAACAAGATTAGGCATCATGTTGAACCACGTCCAGAGATCTGATTGGCTCCTGAGTGGGGCTCCCCCTACCATTTTATAGCACCACTTTCCCCTCCCCCCCCTTTCCCCCGAAAAAGCACGAGAGCGCATGTTTGTCATCTTTATACTCTTGCCAAAAGGCAAAAAGCAAAAAGCCTAAAGCCTAAATAGAAGAAGTTTGATTTTATAAGCGCATCCGAACATATCCGCTGCTGATGCTGCTTTGCGCTTTTGGGGGAGGTAGTGGGTTGGGGTGGGTTGAAACCGGAGAAAGAACAAGGGATGGAAACGAGAGAGAAAGAGAGAGGAAGAGAGGGAAAAGGGAGTGAGAAAGGAAAGTTGGTAAAATAAGGGGGGGGGGCGAGAATGGCATGTATGCCTTGGCCAGAAATAACAGCAAGCATCGTCAACTCTTCAAGTCGTCCGTTAATTGACCCATGCCTAGAACCTTCCCTTGCTCTTTTCTTTGTTGTTGGACACTATAAAGACCCATCAAAGGGTCTTTTTTCAAACTCGCTCATTGCCACCCACACCATCTCCAGGTCTTGCCAGCCCAGCGCATGCAAAGAAATACTTCCTTGCATGTCTGAGAGACTCGTTTGGACCCTTCGGAATTATAATCAAATTTCCTTTTCGTGCGTGAACACCTCTGCAGATGCATACAAACACACACGCGCATGGGAAGCACATGGTCCCTCCACTTGCTTTGCTGTTCGTCGTGGTGGTGGTGGTGGTGGTGGTGGACGTCATCATGATTGATACAGGTACAGGCGGAATGTATGTGCGATAAGCAAGTGTCACAACTTACTTGCACGACCCGCTTATCTCTCAGTAAGCAATGTTTCCTAGAGGTGTTGTTGCTACATGTAGTAAAGGTATTTATGGAGAGAGAGCGATAACAAGCAATTCTTCGATCTTCCTTACGGAACAAACGCCGCCAAGAATGTAGGATCTCAGAGACGCCTTGCTATTGCTATCTTTTGTGTAATCCAACAATACATATCCCTCAAAAGTAACCATAACTCATCATCAAGCCTCCTGACGCTGGCTTGTGATCGGCGGTGGTGGGTTACATGGTACATCGTATAGCATACTTCCAAAGAAGATTCTAGACAACGAATAGAAAATGAAGACTTCTTTTGCGGCTGAGTTGGATAGATGGCAGCCAAGTTGCTATAAGGTTGTTGGTTGTTCACACACCTTCCTTTTCCCTTCAATATAACGCCATCCTCTCGTACGTAATTGACCGTAATCACAGCTACTATTTTGAAGAAGAAATTAGGCCGTTGCCATGGTAGCAGCAATCGTGGCCGGCTTGGTTGCTGTGAGCCCTGGGCATCTACCATGGCATCCGCTCGTCGTCATGGTCGTACTATACAGCCATATATATGGTACATTCATATTACTTACATAAAGTCTCTACTCCCCTCCCCTTGGTCAAAAATGATGCCATCGGTTAAACAACTCGCGTTCGTGGCATTGTTCTTCTTGTAAAAAGTAGTACGCTCATCATATAGAACAAGAAGGAAAGAGTAAACAACTGCGGATTCGGGGGGAAAAAAGAAAGGAGAGGTGCTATCGTCATTATTGTAATTTTCATTGATGATAAAATCACGAGATTGCCGTGTGACGTTCAGCTGAGTCCGCAAAAAAAAGACGGTTCTCGGCTGGGCGACGCTTTTATAACCTTTTCGGCATTTCTTTCCCCATTGATTTTTGTGTGTGCATGATTTTTAGGGCAAATAGCAGTGTGTCATAAATATTTATATATCAAAATCACCAACAAAAAATAATGACCGAAGTCATCCAAGCGATATTCATCCGTGAGACCGAAACACGAAGCCACCCAAAACCACATACCGTCTACCAAGTCCAAGTCCATGCCGCCGTACGCAACTGGATCATTTGGAAACGGTATTCCGAATTCGCCAAGCTCAACTCGACCCTCACCGCCCTATTCCCCAAACATCCACCACCCGTCCCATTACCTGGAAAATCCATCTTTCCATCCACATTCTCCAGCCTTGACAAAATTCAAGAACGGCGTCGTGGACTGGAAGACTATCTGCGCGGCATTCTGAGCAGTCGGGATGACCGATGGCGACAAACGGACGCATGGCGAGAGTTTTTGGGCGTACCGTCTGGACGGCCATTGGACGCAACGACAATGTACACCTCGGAAAATTGGCTTGACGAGTATAACGAAATGACCAGCACTGCACGTGAAATTCGATCCTTGATTAACAAACGGGGTGCGCATGCTGCACGCAATGAAATTTCGGCTTCGCATAACTGTACAATGCAAGCGAAAAAGTTACTATTGTTGCTTTCGACTCGGTTATCGAATCTAGAGTCTGGATTGTCCGGGTTGGCCATGGGGACCGGGATTGGCGGCGAAGGGTCCATGGCCGAAGGAGAGTTGCGACGACGTCAAGATATGTTATATACCCTCAAGAACGAGAAAGATACGTTACTCAAACTCGTGAATACCGGTCGACAAGAACAAGATATGCTTTATTCCAATACGACTTTGTCATCCACATCGGCTGCAGCAGATAGGAAGGCATTGCTGAATCCGTCTTCGTCTGACGATCACAATTATGGATTCCCCAAACAACAAGAGCAACAAGGAGCGACAACATCATTTCAACGGCCACAACAACAACAACGGCAACAATCACAACGTGGAACCAATGGACGCGCATTTGGAGCTCAAGCAAAGGCACTGATGAACGAAACAGAAGAAACACGAGGGCTTGATAACGAAGGTTTGATGCAATACCAGCAACAAGTGATGCAGGATCAGGATCAACAGGTTGAACAATTCAGCGCCATCTTGGCCCGACAACGACAGCTTGGATTGGCGATTGGGGACGAACTTGAAACACAGAACGAAGTACTTGATGAGCTGGATACTGGCGTAGATCGCACCAATGTTAAACTCAAATTTGCAAAGAAAAAGTTGGGAGCTATCAAATAATAAAGGATCTGATATGTGTCGATCTACTAGCCAGTTCCATTCAAGGTCGATCCTATCCTATTCCCCTTTTCTTCACTTTAGCACTGGTATCATACCAGCAGTCAGATTAACTCCATGATTGGATTGATCGTTCCATTGTATACGCTGCCATGGTAACTTTGCCAATATATTCTATGTATGTGGTTTGAACAGGTTTCTACAAGACAGGTTTTCTATATATATCAAGAATACTGTCAAGTTGATTTAGCAAAACATGTTTTGATTGACATGAGCATATCGGTTTGTCTAGCATACTCTTAGTACTACTCCATCTTGGATGATGTCACTGGTGAAAGGATTCAATCGGCCCTATTAACAAACAGATATATACCTACTACGATTTGCTATCCCTGCGTTATGTAGTTTGATGATTTGGGATAGTGGTGATACAGTATCTATGAAAATAGCAACATGGCCCATCACGTCTTATTCAAAAAAGCATGTGAAAAAACAAATCAACCGCCATTACCAAGGAGAAAAACTTTTGTTTATAGGAAGGATGTGTTCCATCTTATGACGTGCGAGGTACAAGAAGGTAGCAAAGTGATTGTCGGATATTAAAGAAAACTGTTTAAGAAAAAGGGTTTGCTAGCGATGGTATGTCATTGAGGGGTATACCATATTCCCGTTTTTGTCGTTCACATAGTGGTTTTTCGTTCTCAGGTTGCTGTGCTCTGACACAGCAGAATTTATACTTGCTTGAGCGCCCAAATTGGAAAACCCTCGTGTGACGCCAGCTGTGCACCATCATTAGATATTTTTAGCAGTGCATTTCCTGCAGTAGCACCTTTTTGGGCGCATTATCCCAGACGCACTGAGACATTGCATATTCGAGATTGGAGGGAAATTTTCTATCAGTTGTCCCATATGAAGTTAGGTCTCACGCTCAGAAACGTGAGTGGCGTTCTTTGTCGTGTTTGAAAAGAGAAGGTTGAGTTTATGTCATGTTTTTTGCTTGTTTTTACGTGCCACATAATAGGTAACTTGCTATCTTTTGTCATCCTTTGTGTAATAAGCACCTATCAGCAGCAATGTAACTACATACTGGAGAGCTTCTTTTTGCCTCCGAATTTAAAATGGCATGCCGTAGTTTATTGGTCATTAGTTGTTGCATCGGCTACACTAGACAGTATAATATCAATCTCAGATACTTGTAATGTGTAAACGAAACCAAAAGCGTCGCCAGAGAATGACAGAGTAGAGGTGGTAGATCCTTATACACTACGCTGGGTCCAGAACCTTTCTTTATTTGTGACAAAGGCACATTTATTTACCACGGCTTTACTGAAACGTCGATAGCCACAGTCAAGTGACGAACAATAGTTATTAGACAGAGACAGATCAGATAGAGGAGAGAAGGAGGAAGGTGACGCTATTGAATGTACCTATGCAGGTCAGTTAGCAAGCCTGCAGGTTGATCAACATGATTGTTTTCTCATCCAGTCCACACACACACACATACACACGACAAAGAAGAAGAGTTTGGTGAGACTGATAGTGTAACCAAGTCCCGTTATTATGCACCCCATACCGGAAATTGGTCTTCCTGCTCTTGGCAGCTGGCGCTTTTGTTCTAATTTTGGAACAGTGAATTGTAGCACAATCCCTCCAACTCTCTTTAATTCTGGGGCCGCAAACGATGATAATAATGGACCTGTCAACCTCCTCCACCGCATATTTTGCTCATCATCCTTATGTACTCTCACTCTTCCCCCCCTCCTTATTAATACAAAAGTGATCGGCGTTCAACAATCGTCATTGTTTCCACACACAACGAAAGTAAGATAAGAAGGTGATGGTTAAGAGCAGAGACGCATTGGTCCAAGTAGCTAGATTCGATACATCTACCGTTGGAAGAAGACGGATGACAATGGCTATCCAAGAAAAGAGAAAAAGGGTGCCCTTTCTTCTACACGCCTCATCAATTTCATTTTGTAGTAACCCCCCCCCCCTGTTTCTTCTTGACAATAGATGGGGGAGGAGAGTGTCACTAGAACCGTTGGTTGGCTCCAAATTTCAAACTTCGATTTTCTCTTTTACTTAACTCACACTTTACCGTCGCCCGGATTTCCACACACTCTCTTTTTTTTTTCCATTTTGTTTCCTTGTTCCAGCAACGCGTTCCTGTGCAACTTGTCCACTTCCTCCTCTTCCTTCTCGTACATACACCTTTTCTCTTCCTCTTTCTTTTGGAGCCCACATTCACACAGCTACCATAACCAACCTCCAGCACTACCAACCAGAGCTATTAGTTTCTCTCTTTCCCTTTTACAAAGACTTGTACGGCACTAAAACAACACAGCCCAACTTTTCTTTTTCACCGCAAACGCTTGGATTTCTGCAAAGCTACGAGACCTAACAAAAAAGATGAGTCAATTGCAATCGGGTAACGGCACAACAACAAATAACAACAATGGTACCGGCAATGGCAATACAAGCATTACAGCCGACGGTTTTTCCATTGGTGTCGCCGAAGACAGAAATAAACGTTGTCGTCGAACAATGGAAGACGCACATTCTTACATTACAGACTATATTGGCGTGCCACGACAAGGCTTCTTCGCCATCTTTGACGGTCATGCCGGTAAAGCAACTGCTGATTGGTGTGGCGCGAACTTTCACAAGGTATTATTTTTTCTTTCTCTTTTTTCTCTCGTATAGATTGCAACCTTTCTGTTTTTTGTGAATACGTAACGAAGACTAAAAGTACTATTAATAGACACTTGCTGAATGTTTAAGCGTGCATGAAGGAAAACCCATTCCAGAAATTTTAAATTTGGCATTCCTCGAAGTTGACCGACAAGTCAACTTGAATGAAGGCAAATCTTCGGGCTGTACTGCAGTGGTTGCATTTGTGCAAGCAAAAGGCGATAAGGTATGTCTGTATATAGGTTGCACTATTAAGAGATGGGGGCAAAGGGTGAAAGTGGGCTTGTCGATTGGGAGTTGGAATGAGGGCAGAAGAGGCGGCTTTACTGAGAGACAGTAAAGAGGGCAGAAATATTCTAAAAGGGAATAATTCATTAGAGAACCTTGTACACCGGTAACGTCGGCGATGCACGCGCAGTACTTTGGTAACATTAATAATTTTTTCCTCTATCCTGTTGACAAGGAACAACAACAATTATGCTAATTTTTATACATGCACTACCACGCATCATGGTGGTGATTATGATGCTGCTGCAGTCGCAAAGGAAAGGCTGTTCGATTGTCGTATGACCACAAGGGATCAGATCACCAGGAGGCAAAACGTATCACGGACCTTGGCGGCTTTATGATGAACAACAGAGTAAACGGTGTTCTGGCAGTAACTCGGTCGCTCGGCGATTGTGTCATGAAAGAATTCGTAGTGGGCAACCCATATACAACCGAGACAGAGTTGGGCCAAGGCGATGATTTCTTGATCCTTGCTTGTGATGGGGTAAGACATTAAATAGTCTGAATGAGTATGTGAGTGGAAGCTAAATGCAATCTCTGTTGTTGGGGTCAATAACAGCTATGGGATGTATGCGAAGATCAAGACGCGGTGGATTTGGTCAAGGATATCCAAGACCCTCAAGCAGCGAGTCGGAAGCTGCTGGATCATGCCCTTGCCAACTTTAGTACCGACAACCTAAGCATACTCGTCATCCGCTTTTAAAAGCAACGTATCCAAACCTTCCTTCTCTACCGGACACATACATACGAACAGACAAAACCACCCACGCACAATGGATCTTGGGTTGCCAGGGATGAAGAGGTTAGGAAGCTGAGAGAAACGCTTGACAGGGCTCGGGAGATGGGACACATTCTTCTTTATTCTGTTTTTATTTTCTCTCTGCTTTGGTGTGTGTGCGTGTATGTGTGATGTTTCCTTTTTCTTTTTCCCCCTCAAGCATCTGTCTTCACGCACAACAATCTCTACTCCGTGCTTCCTTTTTCTATACAAATCCACCCTTTTTATATTTTTCTTCCCCATTGTACAATACTAATCACTTTTTTATATAAAAAAGGAAACTGTTCTATTCAAAGTTTCACCATGTAAATATGTAGTAAGTCCCCCATCTTTAGCAATCCAGTGCATTCTACATTGCGGGGAGGCATTGAGCCGACACGCTTTTTCAAATTCGTGTGAGAATCTGCAGTGATAAGAGACCGGGAACCCGGATCCGCAGTAATAAAATACCGGGTTTGAAGTCTCCCTACTTTAACATTCAGCAAAAGTACTTTTACAAATCATAATGACACGCATGAACATTATCCTCGGGTATAAAAAATATATATATATTTTTCCTTTTTCGAAGGATACAACATAATATGAACTGAAAGTTAACACGTAACTCTTTTATTTCTTTTTGCCAATGACATCAAAAGTACAATGACCTTTGGTAAAACCCAAAGCAGTCGTATCACTGATACGACTGTTGTCAAAAGCATTATTGACAAGTTTGGTGAATTTGAATATACCGAGCTTGGTAGGTATTAAGCCATAATGATGTTAATCCCATCTTTAGACAAGTGATACGAAGGAGTAAGGTTGCATAGTTTCTCATTTCTATATATGCTTTTATAGACACAGCACGTGTTTATTGTGAAGGCACGACAGAAGAGGCAAGAATAAGCACCAGCTGATACATTATAGACACAAAGAAAGAAGATAGGGCGGTTGTGCTAAATGTTATAACGTACTCTATGATTACAGGTGCTTGCAGATGTGGGTGCCGTCCAGAACTTCAAGATAGCAACCAAGGTAGCACCTCGTACACCAGGAGATCACGAACCTGAAAAGCTCCAAGCTTTCTTCCGCACCTCCCGTGAAAAGCTCAAGGCTGAAAAGGTCGACATTTTCTATCTTCATGCGCCAGTAAGTAGCTTATACAGCGATGTCGTAATTACTAGTATTGGCTGGAACTTATAACGTGACATGTCAATTACCTTAAAGGAACTCATCCAAACCTATTATAACATTAAGGATCACGCTACTCCTATACAAGATACCTTGGCTGCTGTTCAAGAACTTTACGAGCAAGGCCACTTTGAACGTGTAAGTCGTGCACCATGTTTTACTTCATTACAAGAACTAGTACTTTACAGGGGAAAAAAATACAAACGCCTCATGCTGCTACATGGATACATACAATTCTCGCGTTTTCTGTGTAGTTTGGATTGTCAAATTATGCAGCTTGGCAAGTGAGCGCTATCTGTGAAATCATGGCCAGCAAAGGATGGGTGATGCCAAAAGTTTATCAGGGCATGTATAATGCCTTGACACGTGACGTTGAACACGAACTGTTCAAGTGCCTTCGCCACTACAATATCGCGTTTAATGCATATAATCCTTTAGCCGGCGGTTTGCTTAGCCCCCACTATGAAAACATGGCAACACAGGTCGAATCGTATTCTCGTTTTGATCCTAACACCGTACAAGGCAAGCAGTATCGTGGTCGATACTGGAATGAAGTTTACTTTGAAGCCGTTGGTAAAGTGCACAAGGTAGCCAAGGAGCATGGTCTCAGCCCAACTGATATTGCTCTGCGCTGGATGGTACATCATTCTCTGCTAAATGCCAATGAAGGTGATGGTAAGCAGATAACTACATACCCTTTTTGTTTTTCTATGATATATTTCTTTTGGTACTCAATGTTACTTGGTTTTACATAACGAATTAGGTGTAATCATTGGAGTTTCGTCATTGGTTCAATGCGAACAAAATCTTAAAGCTGTTGAACAAGGTCCCTTGCCTCAAACTATTGTGGATGCTCTTGATGATGCTTGGGAGGTGGCTGTTGTGAAATGCCCTCCCTACTACCGTTAATCATATGAACGCGTCGTGAAATATAAAAATTACTGGATGAAAAAACAGTTTGGGCATTTGGTGGTGCTGTTATACGAGTAGTATTTGTCTAAGCCCTCAACCTAATTTAGGGGCGAACATTAGCTTGCCACACTTTATCTGAAAGTCTAGATTATCTAGTACGATAGTCCCTTTGATGACCAATCCACATCGAAATACGCTCAACGATTATCATACGAAACATCTCTTATTACATATCTACAGAGGAGCTACATAGTTGGAATGTATATGCTTATTGTCTTATGTTAATTATCTAATACTAGATTTTAATACATAGATTCTTATTTTTGAAAATAACTCAACTGGTCGCAAAAAGAGCCAACATAACCTATACATGACAAGAATTTGAATGACGATGATTGACAGCTGTATACTATATACAGATGACGGTACATGGAGGTAGGATGAATGAGAGTATGATAATGTATTATACAATACGGTATTTGTGGATATATTCATCGCCCACCATCTATGATACTCGAGAAATCATTCCGAATGTCATGTCTAAGATGCATAAAGCTTGTTGCCGTGCTTTCCACATTAATTTACATCTTACGACGCTCAGGATAAATCAAAAAATGAACGAGGAGACGCGTTTAATACCACTACTACGTACGGAATGCCACCAACTGCAAAATTCAACGCTCAGTAGTAGAGTGGTATAAGGATACCGGGATTCCTCGGGCGGAAAAATGCTACGACACCAGTCATTATACCAAAATGTCTCCGCAGCCGACAACAGCAGCAACAGCAATTGGTTGTCAATAAAGCAAACTCATAAGCCTTACCAAAGAAGGGGTTTCATGGAGCGCGAAAAGCGAGGACATCTTTGTTAAGGACATTGGCTGGTACAGTACAGCTACTCGACCGCCTACGATAAAGACCAGATGTTGGAGGTCTGACGCACGTTCATTGGTAGCCATACGCCAGAAATTCATGTTCGCTTTCTGAAATTTTTAAATGCTCTGGAAAGCTTTCCAAGGCTTTCGAAGGCTTCAAAAAACATCAGGTTACGATCTTAAACATACGACGCAATACGAGTCACAGTAGACATAAAACTATTTTGCCGTCCCTGCTACTGCCTACATATGTGCTGCCAATCATCCTGTATACCCTGACTGCTATCTTCACATTTCAAACAAAAGCCAAAGTCATGCTTGCTAATTACATATTTCGAGTAGTGGATGTAAGGAACAACTCATGACGACGCGCTCTATAATTTCTTTTAACGTCACATCGACAGGTTGTCGCTCCCTGGCGGTGCTGCTGCTCCTTTCTACTCCTTCTGTTCATCGACATCCTGGTTGTTGCGGCTGTGTCCCTTGACCGTCACTGCCACTTCTTTCTTTGACTCGGCCGTTGTGACATATTTTGATTTTGGAAGTCAAACTTACTTGGAGTGAACTTGGTAGCGATTTCCATGTTATTGAATTGGTGCCCTGGAAAAACTTTCCGAAGCACCGTTCATGCATGAAATCATAAGAGATTTTTGGTGTTACACACACTCTCGGAAATGTTCCCACTCGACTCTTGCCCCTTATGCATATGGTACACCGATAAGAGGCAAGCTTCAGTGGACAGAAAAGAACGAAACTCATCGTGATCGCCAAGTAGCGAGATGGGACGAGTGTGTGCATGGAGCCTGGAGCGTCTACAAGTGCAGGTGTTATCGGTGTGAAGCATGGCCCTTGAGAGATTGTCATCCGTTGTTCGCGATCCTTGTGCAACATCGGATGGTCAAACAGGTCAAACTGTGACGCCTACAAAAGAACTGGACTCGACTGCGCATTTCCCTTTCTCTTTCTTCTTCCTCACTGTCGAAAGATCTTTTCCACCTTTTCCACTTCATTGAACGATACCCTTTTCAGCTTCTTTATTGAAGGGTTGCCTTCTGCTACTTGATCCGAGTGGATGTACGTGCAGAATCAGTATTCGTTATTGTTTTCGGCGTACATTTGCGACTTTCATTAGGATCTTTGTGGCGCAGTGCACGAGTCGCTGTTGCAGCGAGCCCTATCCGTGAGCGCACTACATGCCGTAAAGTTCTTTACCGCAGTGCACTCACAAAGTAAGTATACACGTAATTCCCCCCTTGACAAACTGCTCTCACCCATCTTCTTCTATTTGAGGGCTGTCTTCTACTACTTGGGTCCGAGTGGGTGTACGTGCAGAATCAGTATTCGTTATTGTTTTCGGCGTACATTTGCGACTTTCATTAGGATCTTTGTGGCGCAGTGCACGAGTCGCTATTGCAGCGAGCCCTATCCGTGAGCGCACTACATGCCGTAAAGTTCTTTACCGCAGTGCACTCACAAAGTAAGTATACACGTAATTCCCCCTTGACAAACTACTCTCACCCATCTTCTTCTATTTGTAGTGATTTGTTATTGGGAGGTGTAGGTTCCTTTGGAACTGAGGCTTGAGGAGACCAAGGGAGAGCAACCTCTCCTTTGAGGAACGAAGGATTCATATACAAGCCGGTCATTTGCAAGCAACAATAAATAAACGTGTCTTCTTCTGTCTTTGTGTACAATAAATTTTATTGATTTCGTTTCTACTCTCTTGAAGAAGTGTTTCTAACTATCCTGAGCATGGGCTGATCAAATAACTCTTATAATAAATGCTTTTCGAGGAGCAGCTTGCTGCAGGAAACGAGACCAGCCAATCTCTGAAAGGAAATTATGAATTGTGCATTTGCCGGTGTGGTTCCGTGGACAGAGCGATCCATTTACTAATAATACAACCAGAAGTGCGATCTCTGGCGTGCCGTTGGAGATGTTCACTTGCCGACCACAGTGTTGTATGGCTTTATAGGAGATTTGTTTGGATTTTCATGTTTAGCTCTAGGATCGGCAGCGACACTCTATCTTATCTATGATGCTGCTGTGAAATATCATCGGGGCGGTCAAATCCAAGTGTAGTTACTATCTCCACAAGTAGAAGTAAAAGAGACTTCTTTAACACACATTGCTGAACAACCAAGCATATCAATCATTGGTCACCCAGATGTCATAATATATGTTTAGTACATAATTATGCTCGATACTGTAATTAATTGCTGTTGTTGTACTGAAATAGCATGACCTTCCTGCGAGATTGTGGACGACTCATTCTGCTAAGCAGATATTGTTTGATTCTTGATGTGTTATATGATAATATTCATGATGATGTTTTCAGTGTTTTTCCATATATATTTTCGTATGTAGTACCATCGAGTTTTGTTAATGGCAAAACCGCCGTTATCTATATTTTGCACAGCGATAAGCAGTGTATATCGATGCTTTCAATTATTTTATGCGGATTGTATGAGAACGTGTCTGGCATTATATATTTGCTTTTTAATTCAACTTTCGTTAAAAACTTGTCAGAAGCAAATCAATGTTCAATGGCAATCTTGGGAGAAATATGTTCATCTTTGCACTATTGATCTAAACTTTCAATATAAATTTGCATCCAACATGTCGAGTCTTGCTGATGGAAACAGACATGTAGCTGACAGCAGTCAGTAACAATTCCTAGAACCAACAATACGTCTTCCATTGATAGTGCCAATCATTTTTGCGCCGCCACCTCCAGTAGCGAAAGAATGAAATGTGAACTATCCATGCCTGTATTCGGTACGCGCACGGGCAGCAGCAGCAGTAGGAGTAACCGATTACAGAATAGCTACGAATCTACGGCCTCTTATAACTGCTCGACTACAACAGCAACAACGCTAGCAATAGCATTGGTCCGTTTATAATTACAACAACCAATCTATCATACGCTGAATTCCACTCATCTACCGTTAACATCATCATCTACGCCATTGCCGCTCAAAAATTACATACTATGATGGTGGCACTGACAATTCAGACTTTGCACATTGCTTCTTTTTTGGAGCCTAGTGCTATAGTGGCACCGAAGTAGTAGTAGGGCAGGAGGACGATTTACAGTATTCAATTTTGCTAAACGGCCAACGAGAGAACTCTATCACCAATGATGAAGCATCTCTGGGAATCTCGCCAACAATTCTCCAACCTAGTTAACATTATCATCACGAGGTAACAGAAGGAAGAAGAGTCAGAATCAGGGCTTTGCTCTCATCATCACCTAATGCGGATTACTATCTTGGTCAGTCTCGGGTATGTGTATATCAAATATGAGGAAAAAATCCGGCAGATAATCCTGATCAATGTTCTCTTACATTATGAACAGCAACAGCAACAATTACATGTAAAATCGGTGGTAGGCACACCATCGTCAGTGCACGTCGTAGTCAAGAAACAACAAGTGCAGCAAGAACAACAATGTATTTTCTATATCCAAATTACTGCGTTTATCCAAGCCCATCAATGGGTGCTACCGTGTCAACGAAACTGCGAAGCGGAAACCGAGCAAACGGTGATGGTGAGACTTCACGTGCGTTTGGCAGCTCATCTTTGCCGATGGATTTTCGCTGCGCCGCTGTGTCTGGCGATTACAAGACTTAACCCAGCCCTACCAGTGCTGATGCGCAAAGCATTTTCTTTGATGGTGGCGGCGGCACTTTCAGTAAGACAAGGAATGCGACGTTTGATGCAGCTGATTTACGTATTATATATAATAATAAAGCAGCGCATTACGCATTTACATATTCCTACTAGTGGTACACATCATTGGCAACAGTCGGCTATATTACTAGGGGCAACAAACGATCTAGAACTTCTGTGGTACAATCATCAATTACAGCAGTGGCATCGGACGACCCCGAAAGAAGAAGTAGGAAGAATGAGCCTTGCACTTTTTGTAGCAAAATGTTTTCAAGAGAGCGGGATCATGGACGACATGGAGACACTTCGTGAGAGCCATGTAGAAAGACAAGACTAGTGTGTACGTGTAGCCTGAAGTGAGCACATTGCAAAGGGGAATGTCAGTGAGGTTGCAATCCGAATGCCTCGGGAGACGACAGACCCATAGTTCAGCGTGTCCAGAGTGTGCTTGTCGGTGTAACATGGCATCACCTGGGCTGGCAAGTGACGCTGTCAATTTTTCTTTTTTCCTTTTTTGGATAAGTTGACCAAGCGAACAGATAAGATATAAAAGCACGGTCTGGTTTTACAAACTGTTTGGACAATGCATTGTCGCGCAGTCTTAGATGAGTCGCCATGGAATCAAACGATTGCATTACAGTATTTGCAGGACCTAAAGGCACGTTACCCCTCCATAGCACCCATAACAGAATAAGCAACATATTTTATTGGGGCTCAGAGCCCTCAATTTAAATAAACTTTACTCATACAAAAAAAAAAGATATAAAAGCACTACATGGAGATAATTTTTGCTACTTTGCTCCTCTCTCTCTCTCTCTCTTTCTTTTCTTTTGAATCATGAAAATTGTGACCAAGATTTCGAATGCAAAAAAGTACCCGTGCACAGTGTCGACGAGCATAACGATGAACCGGGATGGCCGCGTCCAAAAGTTTGTCGTTTCAGCCAGGACTACCCGTAGCAGCAGAAGCAGTGGCAGCAGCAGTAGCAGTGGCAGCAGTGGCAGCAGTGGCAGCAGTGGCAGCAGTGGCAGCAGTGGCAGTGGCAGTGGCAGCGGTATGTAGTAGTAGCAGTATGTAGATAAATAAAAGCATATTTTTTTTTAAAAAAAAAGGCAGCATTGCGCTGTATAAAATCAAAAGATACGTCGCCGTATTTCTGCTGTTACGTACCCGTGTGTGTGTTTTTGAGTGTGTTTTTCAGTAATTTAAGTCATCAGGCATGCGAATGGGCCCACGAGAACTATGGGGACTCAGGCACAGGATATGATTATTAGACGCTAAAGTCGCTTCCCAACTGTTGTGACGTGCTGACTAAAGCATTCATTGGTGGTGAAGACCGTTGGAGTGTCCGATGGATACAAGGGATTATCGCGTATCTTCGTTGGTTTGGCCTCGTCGCGGCCAGTAGTAGATGCATTACATACACTGTATTTCTTGAAGTGTTATTTTAAAGAAAAGCTGTATCGTATATAATCTTTATGCCTTGGTATACTTTTAGAAAGCAAAAAAACAATTAGTAATTTTTAAGTCATATCCACTCTGAGGATGTTTTTGTTGCTTATGCTGTAAATTAGTTGGTAGGTTTTCTGATAAGGCTTCTTTCTGTCCTGATGGGAAGGAAAAACTCTATTATCTGAATTAGAAAACAAAACACGCATGATTTGTTATACTATGGTTATACATAGAGGGAACACCTTACGCTTTACTTTTTTACACCATTACCACAATGTATACCGTCAGATTTATCTTTAAAAATTTGATTTGCTTTGTTAGTGATTAACATACATAATTGTCATGCAACGAATTATTGGACGGTCGAATTGATCGATTAGTCCAATTTGCAAATATACTTTTTCATGTTAACTACATATGATTTTATGTACGCGAATGATTTGACGGAAAAAGTGCTGGCCGAGAAATGCCAGTCCCAGTATTGCCACTAAGCTCTCGACCTTTAGCCGTCAACAAAAGCAGGTAGTAGAAGAGGCTATCGTGTATCAAGCATTATTGGAAGATTTAACGATCTTTTTAGCCGAAAGTAAACTAAAAAGCTATGACTACTGTTATATATAGCTTATTTATTTTTACAGTAATTCGTTCTACAGTTGCTGTACACGATCCTGTCATAATATTTATTCGGTATCTGCTGTCTTTGTTGCAATCGCGAAATCACCATATGTACAGAAAGTTTCCAGCAAGTCAGCAAACGAACCATGTAATTCGTTAAAACCGATGACAAGGCCGCGGTCTATAAGCTTGTTTCTATGATAGGTTGCAAGTCTGTATATCTGAGAAACAGAAACAGATTACGTCTCTTGCTATATGTAGGCAATGGCTTACCCAAAACTGGATGATCCGAGCTCTTTATCCATTTCACAGCGTTGGAATGAACTCTCGCGATATCGTCCCAATTGGCCTTTTCGCGACGTTTTCAAATGAGATCACTGGTACACGAGGACAAGATATGGCCGTGTCCACTGAGGCTTGCCCGTTTGGTGAGCGCCCCCCCCCCGGCTAGCAGTTGACGACCGTCTTCTGGAAGATTGACAAAAGAATCAATCTGTTACCCCTCATCATCCATCAAAGGAATGATGTATCGTACTTTCGAATTATACAGACCGGTCAATCAATACTGACCGGGGTAGCCTATTTATTTGTAAATCAGGAAAAGTGCAATACAACTGGCGACGGTAAGATGCTGTACAAACTCAATTTGAACTGAAACAAATTAGTCGTTGATATTTAAATTCGTATTGGTATATGTGGTAAGCCTTATACGGCAAAACATCGGAAGGTGGTCCGAAGCTTGAGAGCCATCATATCGTACTGTCCCAAGTCCCAAGCTTTCGTGGGTCAATTATTACAGCCATTATTATGTTCCATGCCATATGTGGGTAACAAGTGAAAGGTATGCCACGGCAGCTATTTTTATCGTAACTGTATGGACAAGCAGGATCACGGAGAAAAAGTAATAAAAGAAAAGCGTTGCTGTACATGTGTCGAACTGCCTCCACCTGGAAACATATGTGGCGCTCCAAATGCAGCTCAATCTCAGGCGATCTCCCAAACAGATGGGCACATCCACGAGGATTTAGGCTGTGATAGAAAGCCATTTAGAACGTTTGTAAAGCAATTCTACTATTGAGTATGAGCATTACAGTATTCGATATCAAAAGATTTGATCTTGACTGTAGAGTGCATGTCGTGCAGATTTAAGAGAAACGATAGTTTAAGCACACAAAGCTCGATCAACTTTTTCCAAGTCTAAAAGAGTTCCTGCTGTTGCAAGAAACTTTCTGATGTGCCCAGTACTGATATTGCTACATACCCAACGGGTTTCACAACAATTTGACATTGTATTACATGGTCTTTCCATTATGCTTGCGTCAAACGGTTGCCTAGCTATTATGTTTAGAATCGATCGAGTCATTGCAAAGTAAAAGTAATTACGAATCTAATGTGAGCCATTTGACATTGTCAGCATTGTATAAGAACAAGGACACAGCACGCCAAAACATGAGTTCTTTCCTAACTGTCAACTGAAGCGGCGAAGACGATTGAACACAGTCAGAAAGAAAATGGATATTGCAAGGTGAAGCGACACGCAAATATCTTCACAAGGAAAGAAATTGTAAATGAGTTTGAGCAGGACATAAAGTAAAAGAGCAGGTTTTTATTCATTGTAATATTAGAGTAAAGAAACATTTTATAAAAGACAAAAGTTATCGTTATGAATATCAATAGTCGAAGGGTACAAATTTTATTAAAAGAACACAATCAGTGGACAATAAAGACAAATAATAAGAACGCGATTTTACAAAGTGACCTCAACAAGCAGTTCGCACAACCCGTAGGCTATACAAAAAGCATGAAGAAAGCAAGAAGAAACAGAAGAAGTATGTAAAAGGGGGAGGAAAAGAAAGCCACCAATGCCTCGGCCTGGGAGTCCCAGTCTCCCACACATTTGGCTGGGTCAATCAACCACAAACCCAGCCATCATGGTACAAACGAGTGGGAACCATGACGTACACTACGTTTCGAGAGAGTCAAGTGCAAGCAATCGGTTGAGGATTGCCTGTGAGTGGGGAAGGGAAGGAGGACGGAAGGGAAGAGGAAAGGGAAGGGGTGGGGGAAGAGGAAAGGGAAGAGGAAAGGGAAGGGGTGGGGGTAGGGGAAGGAATTGACTCTCGAAACACCCAAAAAAGAAAAAAAAAAATTTGCTGCTGTTGTCGAATGCTGGAGGAGCTGCTTACTGGATACTCGGATGCTGGGAGCCGAACACTGAAGCTGGGAGCTGATTGCCGAGTGTCGATTGCCGAGTGTCGATTGCCGAGAGTCGAATGCCGAGAGTCGAATGCCAGAGAGTTGATCGCTGAGAGTCGAATGCCGAGAGTCGAATGCCGAGCGTCGATTGTCGAGAGTCAAATGCCGAGAGTCGATTGCCGAGAGTCCAACGCAATCTACAGTGGCACCTGGCTCCTCATTGCGACCCCCACCATGGCAGACCAGACACCAGCAGACAAGGCATCCAACCGAAAGGACACTACCATATTTCTATGGCGAGAAACCGAAAAGGATTTCTCCGTCCTCTGATCTCGCCTGAAGATCGGTTGTGGCCAACACCGTTGAACGCCAGACTGGACAGCCCAAAGCAGGGACCGGTTGTAGGCAGCCAGGGGGACCACGGGAAAAAGGCTGAGACCAGGACCGACAGAGGCAAGACCAGGACCAAGGGAAGAGCCAGAGCGAGGGGAAGACCAGAACCAAGGGAAGAGCCAAGAGAAAGACCAGGAGGATCCAAGGGAGTGAAGGGAAAAGAAAAGTGAAGAGAAGAAAGAGTGAAGAAAAAATTTTTTTTTGTTTTAAAAAAACACGTCCAGGCCCGTGCTAAAAAACAGGCAGAAAGCAACGTCACGACTCAACTTTTTTGTTATGTTCACACGTTTCTTCCATCTTTTTTCAATGAATACATCAGCCGAGGGAATGGTTGATAAAATGACAAGCCAAATTTGAAGCAGTTATACAGGATGACGGCATACATGAAAAGCCATCTCTGACACTCTTTTTTAAGTTCACTATCATGCAGCTTAGGATCGTGTATATACTTTTTTGATACTTGATTAAGAGTCGTCTTTTGTTTGTTAACATGCACCATGGTTAAAATGCCAAGCCAAATTGAACAGCCTGTATACAATACGCGCATACAGTAAAACAGCCATGCCTTGACACTCTATTTAAGTGCCACCCCATCATGCGCTTAGGATCGTGGGTAAACTTGAAGATTGAGTGCGTCTTTTGTGACACACGCCACCACATCGCACCATGGTTAATCCAACAACGGCCGAGACTTTCTACAATGGCTCATTTATCCCATCAGGAAGCTGGATACGACCATTCAGCACATACTTACTCCAAACC